AGAAAGAGAGAGAGAGAGAGAGAGAGATAATTCGACGGAAATCGAACAAGAGAAACGACGATGGCGCGCAAGTTCTGTGTGAACCCTTAGAAAATTATTTTTCTTTCAAAATCATCATTCCCGTCGATCCGCCGCTACGCTTCGTAAACTCATTAGGCGGCCCTTGTTCCCGCCATCGTTAATTGAGTGTCGAGGTGAAACGAACGACACGAAATTATCATTCGAATCCTTCTTGTTAGGCATCAGCGTCACTTTGCCTGTCTCTTTCTTGCTTTTTCTCTCTCTCTTTATCTATATATCTCTTCTTTCTTTCTGTTTCGCTCGCGCTTTCGTTCTCTCTTTCTTTTTCGAAAAGTCATCATTTTAAGTAACATGATCAACTAAGTCTATTGTAAAAGAGATGAAATTCGTTTTTTGCTGCAACAAAGTGTCGGTTTCTGACACATCCAGATCAAATTTATTGTAAGTGTAATCGTAAAGTGCATTACGATGTGTTACATGTAGGGTGGAAACTAATCGATGTTGTTCTCGAGGAGAGAACAAAGCTCAATTGTCACGAAGAATATTTCTCGCGTCATTTAGTTAAGTCTACGTTGATGCATTGATTGTTAAAGTTGGTCGATACGCAAGTACATACGAACAGAAACGTTTGCTGATAACATCATTATAACTTTCTCCAAAAAAGAATATCAAACCGTCGAGTTTAATTTAAAATTCTTTTTTGTTGCAATCTTTCATTTTCTTGGCGATTTTTAATTCATTTGCGAATTTCTTTGAAGAGAAATCGTGTGTTACTGGCAAAGGCGGATGTTAACAACAACTATGTACGCTGTTGCACGTTAGGAATACAACTCGCGACAAGTAAAAAATGACCGACGTAACGCATCGAAGCCCAAAGTACGAAGGATTCACAAGCGGCGAATTTCGACGCGAAATATATCACAAAAGCGTGAAGTTGACTGTTACTCATTTCATTCGTTAAATACTCTCGTTTTAATTAATGATCTCGCACGCGTCGCGAAGAATGCCAATTAAGAATCCTTTACATCCTTGGAGAAAGTTCACCGAGACTTGTCGCAGGTAAATGTGCCGCGTAAATTAAACCGCAAAATATCGTACGCCGATAAATTTTTCCGAATGAAAACGACGTGCTTGAGAATCGTGTGACATTATGGATTCAGACTCTAACGAAGCGCTCGGATTGCGGTAAGAACAATCACTAGTCGACGCCGCCAAGGATGAAAATCTGATTTCTGTCTAACATGACTCTGTAGGCAGCGACACTGACGGAGAAAGTGAGAGAGAAAAGTGGTGTATACAGAAGTGTACAATGTAGGTTGAATGAGGAGTCGCGCTGGATGGATTATGTCAAGGATGCACAAACTTTTTCGGCATCGACTCGAAAAAATCAACATTATATTTGCAACAGATTTTTATCTGTGGATGTGCATGGATAGATTAATAAGAAATGAAAATAATTTGCGCTATCTTATTTTTAAAATTCTCTCTCCCTTTTTTCTCTTTCTCTTTCTCTCGCATAAGTTCTATTATGTAATTAGGGAATATATTTTTATTCTCTCAGTTCAGATCGAGTTTAATTTGTCATTTATTTTCGTTTCATATTGGATCGAGCGTCTTGGCTCGAGCCGACAACACCAGATTCGGTCCGAAGTTTGTGCATCATTGAATTGTGTAATTTAATCTTGTATATATATAAGGTACATTTTGTATATTGTTAAAAGTTTGTGTGATATAAATGGTTATGTATTTACTATCGAGCGCGAACGGCGAACGGGGCTTCCGCGCGATTATTCTACGAGCGATTAGCCGACGTGCGCGACGTGCCATGTGGTTTTTCGTGGTCCTGCATCGCCAAGTACGTCGCGTGCAGTGACGTCTTCCTTCTGTCACGCTGTCGACGATAGAATGCAGAAGATAGTTTAAGATCATCGGCCCCCTCTCCGATCAATTTTATTCAACGCTTAGTAATCGCGTTGTCAAATTATTTTGTTCCGAATATAATATGAACACGTTAAAAATTTATATCTTGCATTTTCATTTGTTCTATGTTTCATTGGCACGTAATCTCTCATCTCAAACTGATATAATATAATATTTTACACTCGCGAATTGCTCGCCATCAAATAATTCTCGAATCACTCGTAACTTCGAAATACTTGCGCAAACCGATTTATTACAACTCGAGTCAACTTGCAAAGACATTTTGCTCATTCGATTCGCGAACGAAAGAAAAGCAAGGATCGTTGCAAAGATGGAGAACGAACGAATCGCGCATCTCTAGTATCGTTTGATATCCGGGAAATCGAATCGTAATGACACGAATCGCACTGCATATCGTACTTGGCACTCGGCGGGGCCACGGAAATGGAGCGAGCACAGGATGTCCCTCTGGCCGAGAATGGCACGCGCGCGGACCGCGGAGCCGGTCCCATGCGCGCGTCTAGTTAATTTTGTTATTTCATTTATCTCGGACTCTTCGTACTCGGGACCCGACATCTGTATGTGGTTTCGCGGCCTCTTGTAAAATACAATTACACATGGAACACACCATACACGTTTATTAATTAATAAAAAAATCACAAGTTTTTAGAAAACGTGTCCTCGTATGATCGGCATCGTTGATTTCTCCCTCTATCTGCCAAAATCCCGGACCTCTTTTAAGTTATATTCGAACGTATCATTATTTAATGATGTATTAAGAAATATTAAAAATATAGACTCGTGTATGACGTATGATTAAGTTCTATTCGTCTAATGATGATTACATGGTAAGTAGAGAGGGAGCGAAATCGATTATTTCAGTTAGCACTGTCGAGCGAATCGATGTAAAAGCTATTCCTTACCTCAGTCAGTCGCAAGCAGCTGAATTAATTCGAATGATTTGAATGTTTCGTTGGCTGCGAGCGGCCGGTTTTCAGTTAACTTCCCGGCAAATGTGCGCGCCGCCCGACATTCTCCAGTCAGGATAGGTATTTAACGGATGTACACGTGTCCGACCATATTGCGTTTGTGTCGTTCGATAAATAGGTGGCTAAGCAACTCCAACGGAAACCCGTGTTAATTAACGTTGAGTTTCAGGACTGATTTACGTGGCGTCTAATTAGCGGGCCTGCCGGCGACGTAGTAGGCATTTTGATTGGCCACACCGCGAATAGAACGCGGACCGATTGGCCTTGCCGGTGTGTCGTATCGATTGTTTTCGTTTCTTCTCCTTCTCCTCTTGCTCTTCCTCCTCCTCCTCCTCCTTTCGCACCGTCATTCTCTTTTTGTTCGTTCTTAAAAACAAAGGCCGAATAGATGCGCTAAAGCGTGCTTCCGAAACGAGAGTGCTTCTAAAACGAAATGCAACCCGATCATGAACATAAAAGTAGAATGGCATTGTGTAATAAATATATACTTGTATATGAAATAGAATATACATACTAAATACTTATAAGTAAATAGAGAATAAAAAGTACAACGATATCATTTTTCAGAATTTGTAAAAACCAATTTCTCTCATTATATATATAGAAAAAGAGAGAGCGTTTGGATCGCGTAATTTTTTCAACGGTAAATAGACCTGTAAGATGGTTCGTTACATGAGAGTGAAGAAAAGGAAACTCTCCTCGTTAATTAAACCGCGTGCAACCATCGCGTTCTAATCCTTTATTTGCTGGCTGTCTTACGTTTACAAGCGTATCAATTAAATCCGGAATCAAACAAGCGCATTACCAATATACGCGCGCTCGTTAAACTTATAGATCTATCATACTGACGTAATTCATTAAACTCTTTAGGTCGCTGCTTTTTTTTTTCAATAGCGGCACGTCATTATTGCACGAATCATTACGAATAATTGCGAAAGCGTAAATAAAAACTTTTTATGCGACGAAAATTCTCATAGATACTAATTCCGATGCAGAAAGACAATAGATACACACGTACATTCATACACATACACAGATTCTCACAATGCGATCTTGAGTATGAGCGGCGATGCATTTCGAAACGTCAAGCGTGTGCAGTTTCTTGAAGTTTTGCAGCAATTAACAGTCGACGGCGAATAACAAACTGATTTAATTAATTGCATAACTGCGAGCAGAGGCGGTCCCCTCCCTCTTTCCTCCCCTCTTCCTTTTCTATCTCTCCCCACACTTCTAATCGAAGCGGGTACATATTGTTGCACCCGTTGCGCTCTACCCCTCATCAGCCCCATCGGCAATTAATTATAGCATTCCAGGTTAGCCCGGGAATTAATTACGTCCAGAAGTTGGACGCTGGCGAGGGATCGTTAGAAATCGTCCTTCGTTAGAGTTAGGCGGGCATAGGTCCAGGTAATTATTGATAGTCTCTCCCGGTCCCTTTCATTGTGCCGATAACGGACGAGCTTAGAAGGTCCATATCGCACTGATATATTTCGGACATATTTTCGAGCGAGAAAACGTGGAATTGCCAATGCGCTGCTGAATCTTTCAATCGTGCTGTCAAAAATTGTAAAAAAAAATTTCATTAACAGAAATGGAGAACGATTCTGCTTAAGACGCGCGATTCTAGCGAGAGACTGGATCGAAAGTAAAGTGCAACGATCGGTAATATTCTTTCACAAACGCGGATGAAATCCTCTATTAATGATAACCCTTGTTCATCTATTCCTTGATTCCTTCTACGTACTTGTTGACATGATTTTATCGGCGAGAATTGTCGGGGAAACAAAAAGGATCGTTAGCGCTCGCGACACGTTTTACGGCACGTAAATATGGGCATATACGTTTCGAACAAAGTTCACCAAGTATTTTTCGACAGTAACATGTAACTAAACCGACGTAGAGAGAATTTTTAAAATGTGCCATCGACCCATTGGAGACAGGAGCGAGTAATTACGTTGTTAACGAATTTCTAATCTTTTTAAAGTACCTATTTCAAATTAATTAATAATCATTATCATTTTAATTCGGACAATATAAGGTCGACGAAGAAAGAATGATTAAAAAGCACGGATATCCCATCGATTAACGTGTCGATAGAAAAGCAACGCGATTATTATTGTCTCGTCACGTTACGCGACAGTAAGACTTGCACATTACCAAATTTCTTCTTTACAGCGCGTGTGACAGATGCGGCGGGATAAAAAGATAAAAAAAAGGTAGAGATGTATCCGTAGAGAGACGGACACGAGGGGTTACGCGAGGGGATCGGTTGACACACTGGCGAGGCAATTATTATTGTGAGTGGTTGGCGACGGGGCCCCAATGATATTTTATTTAAGAAACAATCGGGTAATAGCTCGCTTCAAGAGAGGATAGATAACGCCGCGCGCGATAGATAGAGACCGCTCGGGGAAAAGTTGTAGCGCGATAGAGAACGAGCTACGCGAGAAAAGGGAATTACAGAGGAGGAGGAGGAGGAGAAGGAGGAGGAGGAGGAAGAGCAGAGCAGCAGGAGGATGGGAAGCGGAGAGGAGGACAAGTACAGCTGGCGCGGGAGGAACGGGAAGGAGAGAGGGAGGAAAGATGAGGGGGGAGGTAAAAGGTGAACTTTGAGACGGGCTGGTATCAGGGTAGCTCTACATTAGCGAATTACCCGCGCGCAGATCCCTCGACGGTGAACAATAAATACGGGGTAATCTGGAAATATTGTTCAAAGGATTCGATAAATTCCACAAAAATCAGTAAACCGCGCTATATATATATATATATAAAGAGAAAGAGAGAGAGTAAAACGGGCTAAAATAATATCATTTTTGAAGGAATCAATTTTGATCCTTTATTAAATCTAATCTTTAAACAGTTTTCAAAAAGGCGTTAGTAAAGTGACGTTTTTTACAGCACATATCGAAATTATAGCAAGCGCTTCATTCAATTACACATTGATATAAGAAACGAATTATTTTTATAGTAATTCTTATACATACCTGAAGAATTGTACGATTACGACCTAACAGAATCTCCGTGATTTCAAAATCGATACGTGCACAATCGCGCTTAAAGCCCGTTCTACATTGATCGCATGTTGCCAGTCGCAAGCAAATCGACCAATCACAGTCGATTATTCCGTCGAATATTCGACTGTGATTGGTCGATTTGCTTGCGACTGGCAACATGCGATCAATGTAGAACGGGCTTTAAGCGCGATTGTGCACGTATCGATTTTGAAATCACGGAGATTCTGTTAGGTCGTAATCGTACAATTCTTCAGGTATGTATAAGAATTACTATAAAAATAATTCGTTTCTTATATCAATGTGTAATTGAATGAAGCGCTTGCTATAATTTCGATATGTGCTGTAAAAAACGTCACTTTACTAACGCCTTTTTGAAAACTGTTTAAAGATTAGATTTAATAAAGGATCAAAATTGATTCCTTCAAAAATGATATTATTTTAGCCCGTTTTACTCTCTCTCTTTCTCTTTATATATATATATATATAGCGCGGTTTACTGATTTTTGTGGAATTTATCGAATCCTTTGAACAATATTTCCAGATTACCCCGTATTTATTGTTCACCGTCGAGGGATCTGCGCGCGGGTAATTCGCTAATGTAGAGCTACCCTGATACCAGCCCGTCTCAAAGTTCACCTTTTACCTCCCCCCTCATCTTTCCTCCCTCTCTCCTTCCCGTTCCTCCCGCGCCAGCTGTACTTGTCCTCCTCTCCGCTTCCCATCCTTCTGCTGCTCTGCTCTTCCTCCTCCTCCTCCTTCTCCTCCTCCTCCTCCTCTGTAATTCCCTTTTCTCGCGTAGCTCGTTCTCTATCGCGCTACAACTTTTCCCCGAGCGGTCTCTATCTATCGCGCGCGGCGTTATCTATCCTCTCTTGAAGCGAGCTATTACCCGATTGTTTCTTAAATAAAATATCATTGGGGCCCCGTCGCCAACCACTCACAATAATAATTGCCTCGCCAGTGTGTCAACCGATCCCCTCGCGTAACCCCTCGTGTCCGTCTCTCTACGGATACATCTCTACCTTTTTTTTATCTTTTTATCCCGCCGCATCTGTCACACGCGCTGTAAAGAAGAAATTTGGTAATGTGCAAGTCTTACTGTCGCGTAACGTGACGAGACAATAATAATCGCGTTGCTTTTCTATCGACACGTTAATCGATGGGATATCCGTGCTTTTTAATCATTCTTTCTTCGTCGACCTTATATTGTCCGAATTAAAATGATAATGATTATTAATTAATTTGAAATAGGTACTTTAAAAAGATTAGAAATTCGTTAACAACGTAATTACTCGCTCCTGTCTCCAATGGGTCGATGGCACATTTTAAAAATTCTCTCTACGTCGGTTTAGTTACATGTTACTGTCGAAAAATACTTGGTGAACTTTGTTCGAAACGTATATGCCCATATTTACGTGCCGTAAAACGTGTCGCGAGCGCTAACGATCCTTTTTGTTTCCCCGACAATTCTCGCCGATAAAATCATGTCAACAAGTACGTAGAAGGAATCAAGGAATAGATGAACAAGGGTTATCATTAATAGAGGATTTCATCCGCGTTTGTGAAAGAATATTACCGATCGTTGCACTTTACTTTCGATCCAGTCTCTCGCTAGAATCGCGCGTCTTAAGCAGAATCGTTCTCCATTTCTGTTAATGAAATTTTTTTTTACAATTTTTGACAGCACGATTGAAAGATTCAGCAGCGCATTGGCAATTCCACGTTTTCTCGCTCGAAAATATGTCCGAAATATATCAGTGCGATATGGACCTTCTAAGCTCGTCCGTTATCGGCACAATGAAAGGGACCGGGAGAGACTATCAATAATTACCTGGACCTATGCCCGCCTAACTCTAACGAAGGACGATTTCTAACGATCCCTCGCCAGCGTCCAACTTCTGGACGTAATTAATTCCCGGGCTAACCTGGAATGCTATAATTAATTGCCGATGGGGCTGATGAGGGGTAGAGCGCAACGGGTGCAACAATATGTACCCGCTTCGATTAGAAGTGTGGGGAGAGATAGAAAAGGAAGAGGGGAGGAAAGAGGGAGGGGACCGCCTCTGCTCGCAGTTATGCAATTAATTAAATCAGTTTGTTATTCGCCGTCGACTGTTAATTGCTGCAAAACTTCAAGAAACTGCACACGCTTGACGTTTCGAAATGCATCGCCGCTCATACTCAAGATCGCATTGTGAGAATCTGTGTATGTGTATGAATGTACGTGTGTATCTATTGTCTTTCTGCATCGGAATTAGTATCTATGAGAATTTTCGTCGCATAAAAAGTTTTTATTTACGCTTTCGCAATTATTCGTAATGATTCGTGCAATAATGACGTGCCGCTATTGAAAAAAAAAAGCAGCGACCTAAAGAGTTTAATGAATTACGTCAGTATGATAGATCTATAAGTTTAACGAGCGCGCGTATATTGGTAATGCGCTTGTTTGATTCCGGATTTAATTGATACGCTTGTAAACGTAAGACAGCCAGCAAATAAAGGATTAGAACGCGATGGTTGCACGCGGTTTAATTAACGAGGAGAGTTTCCTTTTCTTCACTCTCATGTAACGAACCATCTTACAGGTCTATTTACCGTTGAAAAAATTACGCGATCCAAACGCTCTCTCTTTTTCTATATATATAATGAGAGAAATTGGTTTTTACAAATTCTGAAAAATGATATCGTTGTACTTTTTATTCTCTATTTACTTATAAGTATTTAGTATGTATATTCTATTTCATATACAAGTATATATTTATTACACAATGCCATTCTACTTTTATGTTCATGATCGGGTTGCATTTCGTTTTAGAAGCACTCTCGTTTCGGAAGCACGCTTTAGCGCATCTATTCGGCCTTTGTTTTTAAGAACGAACAAAAAGAGAATGACGGTGCGAAAGGAGGAGGAGGAGGAGGAAGAGCAAGAGGAGAAGGAGAAGAAACGAAAACAATCGATACGACACACCGGCAAGGCCAATCGGTCCGCGTTCTATTCGCGGTGTGGCCAATCAAAATGCCTACTACGTCGCCGGCAGGCCCGCTAATTAGACGCCACGTAAATCAGTCCTGAAACTCAACGTTAATTAACACGGGTTTCCGTTGGAGTTGCTTAGCCACCTATTTATCGAACGACACAAACGCAATATGGTCGGACACGTGTACATCCGTTAAATACCTATCCTGACTGGAGAATGTCGGGCGGCGCGCACATTTGCCGGGAAGTTAACTGAAAACCGGCCGCTCGCAGCCAACGAAACATTCAAATCATTCGAATTAATTCAGCTGCTTGCGACTGACTGAGGTAAGGAATAGCTTTTACATCGATTCGCTCGACAGTGCTAACTGAAATAATCGATTTCGCTCCCTCTCTACTTACCATGTAATCATCATTAGACGAATAGAACTTAATCATACGTCATACACGAGTCTATATTTTTAATATTTCTTAATACATCATTAAATAATGATACGTTCGAATATAACTTAAAAGAGGTCCGGGATTTTGGCAGATAGAGGGAGAAATCAACGATGCCGATCATACGAGGACACGTTTTCTAAAAACTTGTGATTTTTTTATTAATTAATAAACGTGTATGGTGTGTTCCATGTGTAATTGTATTTTACAAGAGGCCGCGAAACCACATACAGATGTCGGGTCCCGAGTACGAAGAGTCCGAGATAAATGAAATAACAAAATTAACTAGACGCGCGCATGGGACCGGCTCCGCGGTCCGCGCGCGTGCCATTCTCGGCCAGAGGGACATCCTGTGCTCGCTCCATTTCCGTGGCCCCGCCGAGTGCCAAGTACGATATGCAGTGCGATTCGTGTCATTACGATTCGATTTCCCGGATATCAAACGATACTAGAGATGCGCGATTCGTTCGTTCTCCATCTTTGCAACGATCCTTGCTTTTCTTTCGTTCGCGAATCGAATGAGCAAAATGTCTTTGCAAGTTGACTCGAGTTGTAATAAATCGGTTTGCGCAAGTATTTCGAAGTTACGAGTGATTCGAGAATTATTTGATGGCGAGCAATTCGCGAGTGTAAAATATTATATTATATCAGTTTGAGATGAGAGATTACGTGCCAATGAAACATAGAACAAATGAAAATGCAAGATATAAATTTTTAACGTGTTCATATTATATTCGGAACAAAATAATTTGACAACGCGATTACTAAGCGTTGAATAAAATTGATCGGAGAGGGGGCCGATGATCTTAAACTATCTTCTGCATTCTATCGTCGACAGCGTGACAGAAGGAAGACGTCACTGCACGCGACGTACTTGGCGATGCAGGACCACGAAAAACCACATGGCACGTCGCGCACGTCGGCTAATCGCTCGTAGAATAATCGCGCGGAAGCCCCGTTCGCCGTTCGCGCTCGATAGTAAATACATAACCATTTATATCACACAAACTTTTAACAATATACAAAATGTACCTTATATATATACAAGATTAAATTACACAATTCAATGATGCACAAACTTCGGACCGAATCTGGTGTTGTCGGCTCGAGCCAAGACGCTCGATCCAATATGAAACGAAAATAAATGACAAATTAAACTCGATCTGAACTGAGAGAATAAAAATATATTCCCTAATTACATAATAGAACTTATGCGAGAGAAAGAGAAAGAGAAAAAAGGGAGAGAGAATTTTAAAAATAAGATAGCGCAAATTATTTTCATTTCTTATTAATCTATCCATGCACATCCACAGATAAAAATCTGTTGCAAATATAATGTTGATTTTTTCGAGTCGATGCCGAAAAAGTTTGTGCATCCTTGACATAATCCATCCAGCGCGACTCCTCATTCAACCTACATTGTACACTTCTGTATACACCACTTTTCTCTCTCACTTTCTCCGTCAGTGTCGCTGCCTACAGAGTCATGTTAGACAGAAATCAGATTTTCATCCTTGGCGGCGTCGACTAGTGATTGTTCTTACCGCAATCCGAGCGCTTCGTTAGAGTCTGAATCCATAATGTCACACGATTCTCAAGCACGTCGTTTTCATTCGGAAAAATTTATCGGCGTACGATATTTTGCGGTTTAATTTACGCGGCACATTTACCTGCGACAAGTCTCGGTGAACTTTCTCCAAGGATGTAAAGGATTCTTAATTGGCATTCTTCGCGACGCGTGCGAGATCATTAATTAAAACGAGAGTATTTAACGAATGAAATGAGTAACAGTCAACTTCACGCTTTTGTGATATATTTCGCGTCGAAATTCGCCGCTTGTGAATCCTTCGTACTTTGGGCTTCGATGCGTTACGTCGGTCATTTTTTACTTGTCGCGAGTTGTATTCCTAACGTGCAACAGCGTACATAGTTGTTGTTAACATCCGCCTTTGCCAGTAACACACGATTTCTCTTCAAAGAAATTCGCAAATGAATTAAAAATCGCCAAGAAAATGAAAGATTGCAACAAAAAAGAATTTTAAATTAAACTCGACGGTTTGATATTCTTTTTTGGAGAAAGTTATAATGATGTTATCAGCAAACGTTTCTGTTCGTATGTACTTGCGTATCGACCAACTTTAACAATCAATGCATCAACGTAGACTTAACTAAATGACGCGAGAAATATTCTTCGTGACAATTGAGCTTTGTTCTCTCCTCGAGAACAACATCGATTAGTTTCCACCCTACATGTAACACATCGTAATGCACTTTACGATTACACTTACAATAAATTTGATCTGGATGTGTCAGAAACCGACACTTTGTTGCAGCAAAAAACGAATTTCATCTCTTTTACAATAGACTTAGTTGATCATGTTACTTAAAATGATGACTTTTCGAAAAAGAAAGAGAGAACGAAAGCGCGAGCGAAACAGAAAGAAAGAAGAGATATATAGATAAAGAGAGAGAGAAAAAGCAAGAAAGAGACAGGCAAAGTGACGCTGATGCCTAACAAGAAGGATTCGAATGATAATTTCGTGTCGTTCGTTTCACCTCGACACTCAATTAACGATGGCGGGAACAAGGGCCGCCTAATGAGTTTACGAAGCGTAGCGGCGGATCGACGGGAATGATGATTTTGAAAGAAAAATAATTTTCTAAGGGTTCACACAGAACTTGCGCGCCATCGTCGTTTCTCTTGTTCGATTTCCGTCGAATTATCTCTCTCTCTCTCTCTCTCTCTTTCTCGGCGATTTTGCCAATATTCTCGGTGCCGTGAGCACCAGCAAAACACGATGTTCAGAATGAACAGGGCTCCACCCAAAGTAGCGCAGAGGGCTATCGTGATGTAGAACGGCGTGAAGTCACCGTACTCGTGTCCTTTGAAGTACGGATTCTTCAGATAATCTTCGCGCTCGTCTAGAATGGACATGTCACAATGTTAACACTCTCTGAAAAACAGAAAGAAGGGAGTCAGAAAGAAGGATTCAGTGCAGCAAGAAGGAGACCCGTCACTCGACGTCGCACCCCTGCAGGCGTGGCTTGGCGTGCCACGCGAGAAAGACGCGTTACAATTTCACGGATCAACGAGCGATTAGTTATCGCTATTGTTACCATCGCGAACGTACGCAAGTATACACGAGCATGTGAAATAGGTCACGAGAAGCACGCGAGTTACGTCGAGTTGACGGAAATTACGTGCGTATAGCGTGAAACTCATACGTACCTAAGGATGTTCCTTTTCTTTCGCCTGTCGCGTCGTCGATATTTATTCTCCACTTGGTAATATAATAATATTTTACACAAGCAAGATGTGAAAAACATCCAGCTACTTGCGCGTCGCTTTTGTGCGTTGGAATGTTTGAACAGCGTTAGATCACTCGTATTGGGCGGGGCATCCCATTGAGTGGGGGAAGTTATTTGCGTCTTGCGTACTACTCCGAGAGGGACTCGTGTCCTCGTGTCATTCACTGTCGTTGAACGAATCGGTAAGTTTACAGCCTATTCCACCGATCGAGGTCACGATCAGATGAAATAGGTGCCATCAAAGATAGATGGTAGCAGTAGTACTATTAATGAGTCGGAAAAAATATAAATTATATAAAAAAGATATTTATTGCTGACGAGGAAATAATAACTATTAGAAATGAAAATTGAAAAGATTAAGATTACGTTAACAATAAATGTTGCGGTAACGATGATCATGATTTTCGAGTAGCTACAATACACATATTTTCTGGCGAAACTTCGGTGGTAGTATAATAAAATAGCTCGGCCTGAAATCCAATACTTTGCAGAAATGACAAACGACCCCAATTCAGCAGCGTCTTAGCCTTGCGTCCGATAATTTCGCGTTCGTCTAATTTTGAAGACCAGCTGACATTATCCTGCCCGTCGTACCGGACGGTGGAATCGTGTTGCGGTTTAACGTTATTTTTTAAACGAGGAGCACAGGTCGCCCAACTAACTATGCTGCGTAAAACCGAGAACTCATTTGCGGTGAAGTCACATTGTCGCAGATATTCTCTGCCTACGTAAGACGAATATTCGCATTTGTGGTGGCAGCAAAATGCGAGGACTAAGCCGCGAACATCGACCTTAGGCTCGTTGTTTATTGACTTCGCCAAGCAACGTATCGCCAAGTCTGCAAATACGACGTCATCGATTAGAGAGAATATGCGAAAATGAAAACTTGTGTGTAATGAAGAAATATATATATTGTATACCAGTGGCTGTCCCGCAGAGATGTTTCGCTATCCCGACTTTATATTTGATTGTCTGGATTTCCAAGATCTTGTTCAATTGCAAATCGGCAATATCGGCGCGCACCCTTTTTATTACGAGACGATTCTCTTCCCTCCTAAGTTTATTGTCTCCCTTGTGCCGATGACTCGAACGGTCGACTAGTAAGACGCAAGAGTTCGATTTGTTTTTTATGATCTGCCCCAGCCAGTATGTTAATAAAGCTAAAATATAATTTAATTTAGTATGCTACAGCGTAAACGATTTATTTAAATGAATCGTTTGAGAGAAAAAAAAAATATAATTTTTTTTTTTTAATATCAAAAATCCGAGAAAGTAAAAAAGTTTATCTGAATAAGATGTACCTTTTCCTGCCCCAAATTCAATGAAACAGGTATTGTCCTGCACGAGACCAGCTTGCTCCAAATGTCCAAGTAGAGATGCGTTTTGGAGCAAGTGTTTTCTAACGTTACTCCCGCAGGTCTCGTCCCTCAATTTGTTTTTCAGCACGTCGTGCTGTAGTATCGCTTGAGAAAAGTCTGGTAGTTTGTCTGAATAAGAAGCAATAATAGAGGAAATATTAGATACATTATATCATTGAACATTTTATAATCCTCTCCATCATAATTTTAAATAATTTTACCATAGGCAGAATGGATCTTTCTTATCACCGTTTCCAAAACAGATTCATCGAGCTGAGACAACGGTACATGCGGTGGCGCCACCATAGTCTCCTCGTCCAAGTTGATACCCTTGACTATAAACGCAGGTTGCGCATCCAAATTTCTTTTGGTGTTGCACACGCCCAGATGCTTCGTCAGCTTTGACTGGTAACACGTGCTGGAAAGAGACACGTTAATTAGATCGCGATCTCTTTCATGATTTCTCGATTAATGAATACTTACTGCGTGGGATCCAGTGGACACTTTACTCTCCTGTCACCAGTATCGTCGGAATCGGCGATGTTTTGTTGATGCTCGCCGCAATAATTTTTGCCCTCGCCCACCGTCATGCGACAGAAACGTTTTTTCCGTTTGACAAAGTACATGCAATGACTACCGTTTGCCATACTCTTTATCTAATAAAGGACTGGATATTCCTTACTTGAGAATAATTTTTATTTTTCACAGGTTATATAGGATTTGCCAGTCTTCAACATTGTAGAGCGACATGTAGATTGAAGATATTTCCATCTCTTCGCTGCTAGATGACGCCACGATTCACTTTTTTCTTCAAGTAAATTCGAAGTTGTCTCTCAGTATTCCTGACGAGGACGCAACGTGCATTAAGCCCGTTCTACATTGATCGCCTGTCGCCAGTCGCAAGCAAATCGACCAATCACAGTCGAATATTCGACGGAATAATCGACTGTGATTGGTCGATTTGCTTGCGACTGGCGACAGGCGATCAATGTAGAACGGGCTTAATGCACGTTGCGTCCTCGTCAGGAATACTGAGAGACAACTTCGAATTTACTTGAAGAAAAAAGTGAATCGTGGCGTCATCTAGCAGCGAAGAGATGGAAATATCTTCAATCTACATGTCGCTCTACAATGTTGAAGACTGGCAAATCCTATATAACCTGTGAAAAATAAAAATTATTCTCAAGTAAGGAATATCCAGTCCTTTATTAGATAAAGAGTATGGCAAACGGTAGTCATTGCATGTACTTTGTCAAACGGAAAAAACGTTTCTGTCGCATGACGGTGGGCGAGGGCAAAAATTATTGCGGCGAGCATCAACAAAACATCGCCGATTCCGACGATACTGGTGACAGGAGAGTAAAGTGTCCACTGGATCCCACGCAGTAAGTATTCATTAATCGAGAAATCATGAAAGAGATCGCGATCTAATTAACGTGTCTCTTTCCAGCACGTGTTACCAGTCAAAGCTGACGAAGCATCTGGGCGTGTGCAACACCAAAAGAAATTTGGATGCGCAACCTGCGTTTATAGTCAAGGGTATCAACTTGGACGAGGAGACTATGGTGGCGCCACCGCATGTACCGTTGTCTCAGCTCGATGAATCTGTTTTGGAAACGGTGATAAGAAAGATCCATTCTGCCTATGGTAAAATTATTTAAAATTATGATGGAGAGGATTATAAAATGTTCAATGATATAATGTATCTAATATTTCCTCTATTATTGCTTCTTATTCAGACAAACTACCAGACTTTTCTCAAGCGATACTACAGCACGACGTGCTGAAAAACAAATTGAGGGACGAGACCTGCGGGAGTAACGTTAGAAAACACTTGCTCCAAAACGCATCTCTACTTGGACATTTGGAGCAAGCTGGTCTCGTGCAGGACAATACCTGTTTCATTGAATTTGGGGCAGGAAAAGGTACATCTTATTCAGATAAACTTTTTTACTTTCTCGGATTTTTGATATTAAAAAAAAAAAATTATATTTTTTTTTTCTCTCAAACGATTCATTTAAATAAATCGTTTACGCTGTAGCATACTAAATTAAATTATATTTTAGCTTTATTAACATACTGGCTGGGGCAGATCATAAAAAACAAATCGAACTCTTGCGTCTTACTAGTCGACCGTTCGAGTCATCGGCACAAGGGAGACAATAAACTTAGGAGGGAAGAGAATCGTCTCGTAATAAAAAGGGTGCGCGCCGATATTGCCGATTTGCAATTGAACAAGATCTTGGAAATCCACACAATCAAATATAAAGTCGGGATAGCGAAACATCTCTGCGGGACAGCCACTGGTATACAATATATATATTTCTTCATTACACACAAGTTTTCATTTTCGCATATTCTCTCTAATCGATGACGTCGTATTTGCAGACTTGGCGATACGTTGCTTGGCGAAGTCAATAAACAACGAGCCTAAGGTCGATGTTCGCGGCTTAGTCCTCGCATTTTGCTGCCACCACAAATGCGAATATTCGTCTTACGTAGGCAGAGAATATCTGCGACAATGTGACTTCACCGCAAATGAGTTCTCGGTTTTACGCAGCATAGTTAGTTGGGCGACCTGTGCTCCTCGTTTAAAAAATAACGTTAAACCGCAACACGATTCCACCGTCCGGTACGACGGGCAGGATAATGTCAGCTGGTCTTCAAAATTAGACGAACGCGAAATTATCGGACGCAAGGCTAAGACGCTGCTGAATTGGGGTCGTTTGTCATTTCTGCAAAGTATTGGATTTCAGGCCGAGCTATTTTATTATACTACCACCGAAGTTTCGCCAGAAAATATGTGTATTGTAGCTACTCGAAAATCATGATCATCGTTACCGCAACATTTATTGTTAACGTAATCTTAATCTTTTCAATTTTCATTTCTAATAGTTATTATTTCCTCGTCAGCAATAAATATCTTTTTTATATAATTTATATTTTTTCCGACTCATTAATAGTACTACTGCTACCATCTATCTTTGATGGCACCTATTTCATCTGATCGTGACCTCGATCGGTGGAATAGGCTGTAAACTTACCGATTCGTTCAACGACAGTGAATGACACGAGGACACGAGTCCCTCTCGGAGTAGTACGCAAGACGCAAATAACTTCCCCCACTCAATGGGATGCCCCGCCCAATACGAGTGATCTAACGCTGTTCAAACATTCCAACGCACAAAAGCGACGCGCAAGTAGCTGGATGTTTTTCACATCTTGCTTGTGTAAAATATTATTATATTACCAAGTGGAGAATAAATATCGACGACGCGACAGGCGAAAGAAAAGGAACATCCTTAGGTACGTATGAGTTTCACGCTATACGCACGTAATTTCCGTCAACTCGACGTAACTCGCGTGCTTCTCGTGACCTATTTCACATGCTCGTGTATACTTGCGTACGTTCGCGATGGTAACAATAGCGATAACTAATCGCTCGTTGATCCGTGAAATTGTAACGCGTCTTTCTCGCGTGGCACGCCAAGCCACGCCTGCAGGGGTGCGACGTCGAGTGACGGGTCTCCTTCTTGCTGCACTGAATCCTTCTTTCTGACTCCCTTCTTTCTGTTTTTCAGAGAGTGTTAACATTGTGACATGTCCATTCTAGACGAGCGCGAAGATTATCTGAAGAATCCGTACTTCAAAGGACACGAGTACGGTGACTTCACGCCGTTCTACATCACGATAGCCCTCTGCGCTACTTTGGGTGGAGCCCTGTTCATTCTGAACATCGTGTTTTGCTGGTGCTCACGGCACCGAGAATATTGGCAAAATCGCCACACTGGTGAGTGAGGAAACCCTGTATTCGAAACTTGTCTTATATTATTATTACGGATTTATGCTTATTTTTACGGATGCATGCAACTCTGATATAGTTTTTCTTACTCTTTAATAGCATTGTTCTATTGAAATTTAGGAAATAGGTGGATCCAGCCTCTATGGACTGTATTGCCACACAAAACACCGCCGCTTGATCTAAGCGAACTAGAACATGGTCGTATCAAATATCCGCAAGTGAGGCACGAAATCATCCAGTATCACGATTCAGAGTCTCAAGGAGCCATACCAGAGTCGCAAGTGTACCTAGAGATGCAAAAACGCGAGAGTGAGATCTAAAATAGCTAACAGCACAAACTAGTGATCAGTGTGGTATTGGAAAGCAGTAGTGAGGGAAATACTCATGCTTCAGAATACGTATAAAGTGAAGAGTTTAATTGACTCCAATAGAGTCTAATTAGCCCTTTGCACTCAGTTAATTCCATTGTAAAGCCTTTGACTTGATTATCATTCATTAATGCTCTCGCTATCAGTTTATCACCATAGACACATTGCTCTGCTTTTATGCACATATTAGGATTAATATTTTTATTTTTTACAAGATAATTTATCATTGAAAGAATATCGACTCCTGAGATATTTGTAAGCTATTTTAATAGTTGCACTTAGTTGCAAACAACTGAATAAGTAATCTCAAGCAGCATAGATAACTTCTTGCAATGGGCTTGCACGTTTTCTGGCCTGCCTCGGCCTGCCTGACCCTCTTCGTAGTTTGTGTCATAATCGTGCTTCTGAAATATGGCGCACGTTTCTGCCAACTACGACACGAACCATTGCCATCTGATCAGGAATGGGAAGGTAAAACATATTCTAGAAAATTGTCCGCTTCCGTGTGAACAAATAGCATTGTCCCAAAAAAGTTGCATCTAAATCTTTTATTTTTTAACAAAAATTACAAATAGCTAATATATTATTGTCGATTAGAATTTCCGCTACCGTATAGATCGGCATGGATATCAATTATTTTCAAAATTTTTATAACTATCCTTTTTCCGGGACACACATCTCATATATATTATATAGAGACAGTATTAGTCATATAAAAACGACACATTCCGTCCATTTACTGCACATTTGTACTAATTTTTTATATATATATATGTATTTTTTTATATATTAGTATATAGACATATGAACGTGTATGTCCTCGGAAATCAGTGTAATACGATTGTTCGAAAAGGAATTTTTATATACTAAACCAATCTAATTATTTTTATCTCTATAATAAGACGTCATTATGAGAGAAAATTAATTTTATATCCGTCCAAATCTCTCTCTCTTGATGTCATTTGATATATCTTTATTCGAAATGATATAATAATATCGATAATCTCGAGTACTTTTGTAATTTTTGTATTATTAATACATTTACAAATAAAAAATGTAATGAAAATCTTTCCATCTCTATATCACTTTGTAAAAATTGATTGTTCCAATTCGGATTAATGCACAATTTGAGAATAGACTCTCACTCTCTTGTATATATAATATTTTACTTTTATTGACAACATTGGATTTTTGTTACATGTGTAATGGTTACACAATTATTTCAATAAGTAAGTAGATGCATTATACAATCTTTATAGTAGTTTTTAAAGAAAATTACCGACTTTACGTGGAGAGAGAGCTACAATACATCTTATTCAGAACTGTCCTAAATAAACATGGTCTGAATGACCGAATAAAATCAAAGTAATGAAACCGCGCGAAACAAATACATTCAACATTTATCTCTCTCTCTCTCTCTAAATTGTAAAACATTTGCAATCTGTACAAGTTTTGAAAATGTACGATCGAATTTATTTATTCTTTTTATATGAACAAAATATGTAGAAAAACTTCTGCGATTGTAGGAACCAATAGAAATGGCTAAAAAATTCTATTGCAATTTTTATAGAAAATTTACACTAACGAGATTAAACCATCAACAAGATTGACGATTATGAAACTCAACGGTCCGTAATAGAACGGCAATTCATGTGCTCTAATTAATTCTAACGAATAAAATTCTGAACGATTCTCTTATCATAATATCTAGAATATCTAAGAATTGTTCTAAAAAAAGGTGCACGCAGATGGTAAAAGATTATCTTGGAAGAAATTTAGAAAGGAATCTTTTCTCCTGTAAGATTTTAAATAATTTAAAACGAAAATTATATAGTTAAGTTGTAATAAATCGAGCTTTCTCCTTGCAGTCTCGATATATGAAATTTAATTTACGAAACTTTTTATCATCATTGAGAGAAATCTATTTCGAAATTTCTTCAAGAACAGATGTTTATCACTAGCGTGCACCCTTTCCGAAACGTCCTGTATAATTTTATCGAAGGATCTGAAAAATTAGTCTCTAGATTTTTACTGATTCGTATCTCCTATCATGCTATGTTACAATGCGATTAAAACATGAAGAGCTTCCCGTGAGCTCCACACAGAGAAGTCAAGCACGAGACTCGTTACACCTGTTCTATATACTAAGAGACAATTACATTATGCATTTAAACTTTTCAAAATTGCTTCATTTCGTACAATCATACAGGATTCTACGAGAAATGAAAAGGATGATATTGTATTTTGTAAAAAATGTAGTTCACATATTTTTCGCAGAACGGCTTCGGATACAAAAAAATGCTTTTGTACAAAATTGCTTAAATGATGTCTCATATCGTCATAAAATATGCGTATGTAATTAGCGCTTATTGTGAAACAGATGCAACGTTCACATTTCAGAAACATTTAATGTTTTCAACCGGCATATACGAGTCCACTTCTGGCCATCATGCGTGTCTTAAAATATGAGATGGCCTTATCGTTCACCAGATCGCAGTTTTGCTCTTGCGAATTGTAGCTCCGACTTTGAGTAATTTGAGTTGGAAATATCATTCCAACTGGAATGTGGAACTGAATTTACCAGTTGAAGAATTAACGAGGACAGTAATTAGAGAAGACAGGGTGTCTATTCCCTGGGAAAACCTGGAATTCTCAGAGAATTTTTTACTTTGAAAAATTAGGAGACTTTCTAGGTGAAATTTTATTGAGATTCGGAGAATTTTGTAAAAAATTTTTCTTTGATAATTTTGCCTTTATATCGCAAATAGTTGGCAATTCGTTGATCGATCAAATCAGCACAACCAGTGCAACAATACGGTGATATACACATTCGTGTACGAGCGTGAGTTTGCAGTACACAATTCATTGTAATTTTTATTTCATTACATAATTGAAAATGCGTGAATGAAAATGTAATGCAAATACTTGCATTAAAATGCTTATAAAGATTATTCTTTTTGATATCTTCTCAAATTCGAAACTTAAGTGGCTCTTCATTTTGCCTTCGTGATCGTATGAACAGAGAGAATATTAAAAAGTGCGCACAAAATAAATAAATTTATTTCAAAAACTGTATTTAAAAATTCTCTAATTTTACTGGATTTCGGAATAAAAATATCTGAAAAATCAGGGAAATCTCAGGAAATTTTTTTTACAAGATTTGAATAGACACCCTGAAAGAGAGCCCATAAAACAGATAATTCTATCTTAGTTTATCAATAGATTCGCTTTACGCGTAATGATGATATGCTGTAATACGAGAGCTAAAACTAGGCGCTTGTTAACGACGCGTGCGCTAGTCCACGTACGGCGTCTACAAATTTCTTAATTTTTATTTTCTGGAGATCTCTTTATGTCTTTTTTTCCTTTTACTGATTTTCAATTCCAGATATTCATAAAATAGAGTTAAAATCAAATCTTCATCGTAGAAATTTACGAGGGAGAGACTAGGAAAAAACATGATATTTGCAAAATATTATAGGAAAAATAATTTCTTCTCGCGCATCACTATACTCTACGCACTTTTTTTAAAGCACGTCGCACACGGATCGCACACGCGTGCAGTATCAAACGCACGAACAGCTTAACTTCCTCTCACCGACGAGCCTTTGTATACACCTAGACTTAAAAACAAATACAATCTTGTGGGGAGGGAAAAGGGATTTGATTTTCGTGGTGTCGAAAAGATATCCAGCGATCTCTCTTTCTCGCACGCGCGTGCGTGCGTACTTGACGAGACAACGAGACGACGAGTTATTTTAGTTTGATTTTCATGCTCATTCGCTTGCGAGTTTCCATGTTGCCAGTAATCACTTGATACATTATTATAACGTTAACTGCGAATATTAACATCGGAAATGACGACAGTGTCCTGTCAAGAAGGGCGCGGAGGATTCCGGGAAAATTCATTAAGCTCGCGCGAACATTCTGTGATATATATTTCGATATATATATATATTTCCATTTTACTCTCGTTCAATTCTCTCGACAATTGTTATTTTGATGCGATTCTTTTGATCTCAGGTCTGTTTTGATTTTAGAATTTTTGATTCGCCGTTTTAATCGTGGAAGATCCCACACAGGATGGATTGCCATTGAGTTTCTCGCGCATCCACACGAATCCTTATTTAAATTTACGAACCTTCGCGACGACGTAATATTTCCGGAATATCTCGCGCGTGTTATATGACACAAGACACAATTACTTTGAACACCGAACATTGTATATTTATGTGACAATCGAATGAAAGCTGTTTAGTATGACAAATATTGTACATGATTTTAAGTTTATCAGCAGCTAAGCCAAAGAGGGAAGGGGGGTTACTGCTGTTTTTTGTGTGTTAAACAATAATAATATTAATATTAATATTAATAATAATAATAATAATAATCATTGTGGGAAGACGGGAGAACAGCTTTGGCAGATGATTTTATCTTCTGCAAACCTCCAAAATAGCGACTGTTTCTAGTCGAGGAGCTCTATGGTGTGCTCTACACTCGTTAATCGAACAATCAATGATGCATATTTTGCAAGAATATACTGAAAAAGCCAATATAGGTCTTATAGATTTCTCTGAATTTGAAAGCTATGAGAAAATAATCGCGTCATCCAAGCAATTCTTGAATTCACGGTGGTTCAATTGCACAAAAATGCATCACTATGTGTGTCGACGAGTAAACCATACTTATTTCATGTTTTCGTCATCTCGAACATGTTATACGTATCGGTTCCTAATCGATTCCTCGGCTGATTGCGCGGCTTAACCGTCCAAGATCTTGCGTCCAATGTCCATTTTTAGAAAAACCTTTATGCGATCAATAACTCTATCTACGAGGGAACTTGTTGCAAATTGTGTCAATGGGTTAAATATAAAAGTTTTTACTCGAGTGTAAAATATAATTTTTTTTTTTAAATAAATGGATCTTTTCAAACTGCATCATGAAAAACCAGGAACATACAATAGCACAACGCGACCCTGGACAAGTTGGTAACCTTCGAGATACCGTCGAGGACAGATGTGATTACCGAGACGTGCGCACTATTCCGAATTATTAACAGCAATTAACTTGTATAATTAACCAACGGCAGAGCGCACCCTGAAAGAGGTTGCAGCAACACAGCACGCGTCACTGCATCTGAAATGCATGATTCCCTAGGCAGTAAGTGTAATAAACGCGCTTCGATTAGCAATCGTCGCGATCCAATTTGTGCTCTGCCTCGCAATCAATTGATAATTATCGAGAAAAGTATCAATTGATATAAGGTATCGAGAAAAGGAGAGGGTAAAAAGGGGGTCGAAGAGATGGGAGTGCGCTTTCGTTGCCCAATTAGAGAAGATGATTAAAAGTTGGCGGATGATTACTGCTTGCCCGATTTCTTGTTCGATCGCTCACCTGGAAAAAAACAAGAAATTGCACTTATTTCAATTTTCTTCGCGCTAGAAGTCAAGGAACATTTGGAAATTGATCGATCGAACGAATGACAAACCTTTGGTGGATTTTTTAGTATTGGTCTCTGGTTTACACCTCTTGGTAAGCCGTCGCGTCTTTTCGCAGGATGTGTCACTATTCGCTTTCAGATTATCGGTTCTCGTCATCATTTGATTCACGCATCCACTCCACGTGCCTTTATCGTATCGGCATGCTACAGTCAACAATCGATGAGAAAATACTCAGTATGCCCATGTGCTTTTTGCAGATATAATGTAAATAATGTGCAGCATTAATGTCGCGACTCACCTTTCTTGCACTTCTTCTGAATAATCTTGGTCTGCTCACAGGACTTGTCGCCCTTCTTGAGGTTCAGTGTGCGCGACCGCAAATTAGTATTCGAGTCGCATTCCGACCATTGACCCTTTACGTATCTGCACGACGAAGAGCTGCCGGATGCTGCGTCAGCAGATGCGAAACGTCAATAGAAACAATTGAACGTAACGTCGATCAAGCGAATAAAGAAGGAGAGACTTTTAAAGATGATAGGGAATTACTTAATTATGCCGTTTGTATATGTGTGCAATGTATACATCGACAGTCTGTGTTCGATTATCCTCGATCAAATAATTGCAATTTTATCGAGGAGTAACGGATTAATTTCAGAAAGAAGCACTCACTTCGCTCTTTGGTACCGCGCTCTGTCCGTACAAGAACCTCATCAAGAGGCTTGTCATCCTCGTCCCACAGATCAGCTTCCGCTCGCGCGGTCATCAAAATCATCGACAAACTGATGGCCACGAGAGCCAAACTCCAGTACAGCTTCATTCTGTGGGGAAAAAGCGAGAAGATTCGTTATATTTCACAATTAAAGTCGTTTTAAATATAACGGAGATGTGGTTTGCAACGCTAAAGGCGAATTATCTTAAGACTGATAGATATTTCTTGTATAATAAACGCGTATAGATTAATGCAAAATTATATAAAATTATATATGATAGAGATATACACATAAATATGCAGAATTTTGAAGTTGGAGAATAAGCGTGCTTTGCTTGTCTTGTGTTATCTTTTAAACGTTTCTGCGCCTCAAGACGGAATGCGTAATCCGAGTATCATCCTGAATTTGATAATTCAGTGATAGCGACGACCGCACAGTATTCCCCTTGAGCTTGATCAACAAATCGAGCATTGTGTCAAATTAACGATGACAGAATCTTACGATAAATTCTTCGTAGCAAAGCGCTTTGCTTTTTATATGCACTTTTTATTTCTTCAATATTCTGAAGTCTCTCTTTTACATTTCAAATTTCATGTTGATGTTAATTAAAATTAAAAAAAGTTAGAGATTAATAATATTAATATAATAAATTATATAATAAATAATAATAAAATAAAAAAAGATTTAGTATTATAATTATTTTATACAATTGAAGGATACAATGTATGAAACGTATAATATTTCGGACCAAGTTATAAGTTTGTTAGTAGCATGCAACTTTGAAGTATTGTTATCGGAATCTCTACAAACACGGAAATGCAGACAAAAAATTGGTAAAATGAGAACAACGGTTAGTAGACTGGGGGAACGAAGAGATAAAAATTAAAATGCGATCTATTCGCAATGGCGAATTCTATATATAGATTCTAATAGAATTATATTTTTTTATCCTTTTGGGCGCGATTTGGAGACATTTTCTTCATAGCAATGCCATCCATCGCATGATTGGATTTAATTGAATTCTTTGCGGTTCTCTAATATGAGCTACTTATTATCGCGGGGGAGATCCGGAGGAGATAATCGCAATGAATCTTAATGAGAACGGAGCGCATTGCTCCGAAAAGTTTAATAACTCGGCGCGTTAATGAACATCACAGTTGAGATTCCTTGAATTTAATATCAACGTCATGACATCTTTTGTCGTCCATTCGTCGATTCTCTCTACCGTGAAACGTGACGTATCGTTAACATATCTCTTTATTAAAGATCAACGAATTTTTTTTTCTTTCGTTGTCACGATTTGCTGTAACGTTACAAAGTCTATAATGATATCCCAAAATTTGAGATTTAATTAAAATTTAATTTTAAAGAAATGCCGCGCAAATCCGACGAAAGAATAGCTACCTGCTATCAGCGCTATCCAACGTGCTCGGAAGCTGAGAATTGATTTATCGGAGGGTGCGCGGCGATACGTACGCATAAACGATTGACTCAAGGTCTTTCCTTAGATCGATGCCATCATTTTGCATGCGAGTCGACTCGCCTCCAACGATGACAAATTCGAGCAATCACCAAACTAATGCCACGAAATTAATTAATCACCAACAATCGTTGCAATACGAGTATCGCGCGGAGAGAATTTGGTGACCGACACTTCCATGACAGTGATAAATTATTCTCTGTGTATCGTCGAATATAAGCCATGAATAAGCAGTAGCATAATCTCGATCGCTCCACCAAATCCGAGAAACGTATTCAAGATTCAAAGACGATTCGTGGACTTGGAGATCACATGAGGAGTGAGTCGCACATTTCAAAGCTTCTCAGAGCGCTCAAAGCTCCGACTCGAAAATTTGTATCAGAAGGTCGAAACGTAAATGTAATTCAAAGATCCTAGGAGATACAAAAATATAAAAATATCAAATTCAAGAATATATAGATATGGCAGAAGAAAGAGGTGAAAAAATATCTATTAAAATGCGAAAAATCTCTCCAGAAGTCCGATACAACAATTCGTTCGGTGGCGTACCTACATTTCACGTCCTTACAATCATTCTCTCCATTAGTCGACATTGAAACAATCAGCGCCCGTCAGTAATCTTGACGGACCACACGGGTATCGCCGGTCGGTTCTCCTCCCCTCGCAAATCTCCGCTCATGTTCAAACAATTCGCAGGGAAAATCGTTCAATTCGCGCACGTATGGATTGACGGAATTGACAAAATTATCGTCACATCAGAAACGCCGGACGCGAATGAGACGAGCGAGCGGACGTTGCCTTGTTCAAGTTTGCCGTCGAACCTATTGTCGGCTCAACAACGTCGCGATGTGGGTGAGCAAAAGAGAGAAAGAAAATGAGAAAGAGAGAAAGTAAGAAGAGACGGAGCGAGAGAGATATCGGCGAGCAAAGCAGATAATATGTCGTCGAATATAGACCGGCGGGGACTTGCGGTCAACATATCCCAGAGAGCAAAGGGACGTTGCCCGATGTCCAGATATACGTTCGCGGCGAGAGTTGAGATATGCTCGACTTATGAGTTGAACGTTCTTATCTTGTTTTTTTTTTCTTCAATTGCCATGAAAAAATGAAATTTTTATTTCAACAGATTTTTAACTGAGAAGAGAGCAGATATTGCAAATATATTAAATGAAAACTGAAAAACAAAACATTAAGATAAACACGGATCCGAGATAAACACGGAGCGTCAGAATCTTCTACTCTTAGTGCATCCATAATTGATAAACACAAGCATTTAATTAAACACAAGTATTTAATTAAACGTCCGCAGAAAAAGATACGAATAAAATAAAATGTTCACGTCCAAGTAACGTATGCCTAATAACATATCGTATATTATACTAAAAGTATGAAAACAGAGAACGTAATTTATCCATAATGAAAAAATAAATTCGTAGATAAAGCGAAGGCTTGTTGCGCGCGAGATATCAGACTAAAAGGCGGACAGCATGAATTAAATGCGAAACAAGCGCTCTCCAGAAGCGTGATTTACGTTACCCCTTTATTACTGTCATTTAAGACATATGCTGAATATGTAGCTCTCCTCTCGGGAGAGAGAAAGAGAGGGAGAGAGATAGAGCAATAACAAATTCTCAAACTGATAAATTTTTCGCTTGTCAAAAATTCTGCTGGTATAAAATTTTAATTTCTCCAACATACGCGCAGGATATACGTTCTTTCGGATTTCAGTCTCTGAAACTTTGTTACAACTATATTGCTCCTATAATATTCTACTTGCAAAAGTTTAAAACTTTAGTACCTTGGAACATTGACTGCTTTTAAACTCACGTAGATATTTTTATATATTTATTTATACGTACTATATATACATATATATGTAAAATACTGATTTATCATTATAACAAAAGTTGGCCTATTCTAAATCAAGACTAGAACGGAAATATCGCGTTGAGAGAAATTTTTTTTTTTTTTTTATCTTTTTCGCTACATTGATAATTCTATTAGCAGATCAAAAAATGGCACAAAAGAATATTTTTCGCCATACGTTCCACAGAGACTATTCGTTATCTATTCTACAACTCGTCAGTAGAGACTCTTTTATAGAGTAAAAGAAGGATAGAATTAACATATTCTCAGTAAGCTGCGCACAAGGAAATAGGAATAAGATCCTAGAAGATGAGAAACTAGACGTCGCCTAGAAACAAGCTCTATCTTTCAGCTTCAACGCGCTGCTATTGCGCTCGCGCAACTTAACGCGCGTATAAATAGCTCGAAAATGAGGGGTTAAAAGGTTACGGCGTGTCTGTGTTGCAGTCCTAAAAAACTTGTGTGTCGTTTTACAGACCTACGCGCTGGCCACGCAGCTGTAGAAAGTAACGAGGGCAAATTAGTCATCATTTTGCTCGGACGCTCGCGCGTAATCGGGATGAATTGCCCGTCCCGTCTGAAACGCGAAGAAAATCGCCGAGATATGTAATAACTTTTATTTATATTGAAAAAAAAAGAATATGAAAGACATATACGCCGGAATTTTAAGTGAAGAATAGAACTTTCATCGTTTGCGCATCGCTAAAAACTCGACACATATATACAACAGTTTCCCATCAAGTTTTTCAGTTGCCCTTTACAATCAAATCGGTACCTCCGCATAGAATAAAACAACAACTCATCAGTTCTTTTTTCTTATCAGTCTTTTCGTGCAAACTTCTTTGCACATTTCTATCTACTTTTAAAGTTTTTTTAATTATACAGAATTCTTAGAAAACCGCGTGTAAAAGATTCTTAGAGATTTAGGAAGAAGATGATGCACGCTTCTATTCCAGATTGAACCCTAAAGACAGCAAAGAGCGTGAAGGGTCGGATAGAGGATGATAAAGAGCGAGAGAGCGCGGGGGGCGCGAACGGAAGAAGCATCGATCGTCGTTGCGTCGCAGACGAGCGCGCACGGTGGAAAAGCTGCTTTTAGTTGTGTGGTCCCGGAGCGGTCTCGCGCACTGCGGGAAAGCGCTGGACCAGCAGCGAAGCGCAAAAAACTCTCCACATCACGTCGGAAGAGAGAGATTCAGGGGCGGGTCTCCGCTCCGTTCCGTTCGCTCGCTTGCTCGTTCGCGGAAAATCGATCAGCAGCGCCGGGCGGCGGCGTCGGAGTCGGCGTCGGCATTCTGGTTCTCTTCCTCTCTCTCCCTTTCGCCCTCGCGAGAGACTCACCTGCCACGGGGATGCCAAACAGCGGGCCAAGCTCGATCAGCTTCCAGGCGCACTTCCGGCTAGTTCCGTAGTTGCGCGGCAACACGTAGTCGTGGATACACTCAAGATGCTGCGTAGGGTAGGATACGTTCCGTGATGATGATGCGACTGCGTGATCGGCGCGTCGTACGAAGAAAGGACGTTCTGTGTGCCTCTCCTCAGCGTTGCGTTGCCGTCGACTGCTGCTACGTGTTGCTGCCGCCACTGGCACTGCCGCCGCCGACCGGAGTCATCCCCCTCCCCGGGATCGGTCGCGGCATCCCTCAGGCGCCACGCATATCCTCCCCGCTCCGTCTGCCAATCTTCCCCTTCTTCGCCGTCGTCACCATGGTGATCATCCCTCCTAGGAAAGAGAAAGGCGAGACTGGATAAATAGAAATAGAACCAGAACCATGGAAAGAGAGAGAATTATATAGGCTGTTTCAAAATAAAATTAAAGTCTTTACAGAGGCATATTCGCGCACGCCTCTTGTTAAAAATTAAATTCTTGAACTTTTCAAATTTATGGTATATAAAAGAAATAGATATCATGACACAGTTTTTTTCCATTGTAATTATGTGTAATTACATGTATATACTTATATATAACATTATAAAAAAGTTTACACTTTTAAAAAAGGATACAGGAAAATTCATTTTTTGGTGATAGGCGAGAAATAATGACAATGCATTATTTAGGATTGCTTTCAAAAATAAACATTTATTTCAAAATTAATGCTTACCATTAATGCTGTATCCTAGAAACTAAGGTCTCTATCCTAGACACCGAGTGTTTAGGTGTTGTCTTAAGAAGATCCCTTAAGAATATACTGCATTGTTGTGTGTGTACAATTTTTTTTTTATGTATAGTACCGTAATGGGCTTTATAGAGCGAATCCAAACCTTAACTGATTCGCAAAATCACATGATATCTCCCCTCCCCCCCTCGTCCCTCCTACGAACTCACACTTTAAACTTTTAAGAGATCAAAACTCCAAAGAGAGATCCAAGACTCAGTAGATACAGGAATTCAGACTCAAAAATCCAAGAATTGCAAAATCTGAGGATTCTGAAATTCAAGCGATTCAATGCGAGTCTATAATATATGAGAATTCCAAAGTCTAAAGACTCCAAGATCCAAACTGGAAAATCCAAAAAAAAAAACCCAAAATAATTTAAGGATCTATAGATCCTTAACACTTACAAACCCGAAAATTTAACGTCTTACATCCTAAATGCAACGCATTTAATGCGGTCATATTTAATTGATTCGACGAGCAAAATCATGTATACAAAACTGAGTTGCGCGTTATTTTTTATATCACCAAGCACAATTCGACAGTTCTCACTCTCCAGTAACTCGATAAAGAGTAAAATGATAGTACCGCTAAGTGATGATATCACATTTATGGTTCGGAGTATGCGCTATCGAGGACGCTCTCTTAAACAGCATCTTTTGTAGATTGTACCAGTTCTCCAAATGACGTTTCCAGGCATTGCCGTAGCTCCGCGTAACTTACCACCAGAACACTCTGCTCATCTCGAGACATGAGACATATCTGTAATAATACATATTTTATGATTATTTTTATATACATTTGTTGAAAAATTATTAGAAATTTTTACCTTGTCCTGCGAGCCGGAATCGAGCTTGTTTAAACAAGCTACGACGTGTGCTAGATCCAACCAGGGCCTACCATCGGCTGTTACTTGATGAAATACATAGTCCCTAAACAATTTGAGCATGTAGCGATCGCCCGTTTCTGCCCATGTGGGTTCCATATTAAGTTCTGGCCTCTCGTTAATAGTTGCCAGTTTGACCAGCAACTTAAATAATCGTCCATTCTCTAATTCCTTGGCAAGTTCGTTTTCTAAAACGTCCAATCGTAACTGGGCAGCATCCAGCTGTGTGTAAAATCGCGCACCAATCATTGGCATGAGATCCGTGACGCTTTTACGAGGTTGACTTGACAGCAAGTATCTAAAAATTATAGTTACATTACACTGTTAAGGCTGATTGATGTCAGAAGCAAGAATCTTTTTCTTATATTATACATCAAAATAAATTGTTTTTTTTCTGATCATAATAAATATTAAAGCTAGTTTATAGATTTATGAAATATGCTAAAGACTCTTTTCACTTTGTCTATTTATAAATATTACCGGAAGCTTTTTTTTATCAAAAACAATGCTATTACTACTGATTGAAGAATTCACAAACATACAGAATAAGATTTCGAAGGTCAGTAGAGTAGGAACGTGTGATCAGCTCGATGGAGGCAGACATATTGTCGCGGTGGACGGCGATAAGACTCCGACATGCCAGCGCTAAGACTAGCTTGCCGAGAGCTACTAAATCCTCTTGCTGATAATGCGGGATGAGAGTGAGTGGATTCGCGGCGTTCCCATCTAAAGTGACCACGTCTGGAATGGCGACGCAACTTAAACGAAGTCGCGTCCGTGATGTAAGTAGTACCTTAGTGGGATCTAAGCATCTATATGCCAAGCCTGTAAAGCGCGCAAATCAGACTAATGCAGTTTGAAGCTAATTAAATAAATTGAGTGGAAAATAAAGATTTAAAGATTTATGGATAAAATAAAGTCGGACTTGATAGATTTTGTAATAGAACACAATTATACCGCCCTTTAAGAAAAAGAAAAAAGTTGGCAAGAACAATATAATAATATGTATACTAACCAGCAGCATGAATAACGCGAAATGCGGCAGTGAGTTGAATGATATAGCTCCAAATAACGCTTTCTGGTAGCATACTACTATGCTGCTGCCTTAGAATAGTGTTCTTGGTGTGACTATAAGGCCGTGGCGCATTTGGATCCGACGAGAACGGGTCTGTATAACCATTAAGTTCGGTCGAGGCGAAATGCTTATTCAGCAACGTCTCCGAAGCGGGATGATAATCGTATACGAAAACCATGGCTAAAAAAACTAAATCTGTGAGATTGCGCAAAAGATCAAAGGCATGAGTGCGTTTCTTAAATACTGACAATGATCACCGAACGCTTTGGTAGTGAAGACTTCTCTTAGCTGAACTAGATTCGTATGTGACAGCCGCTTCCACATGTCGACCAGTACCATACACTTTGTGTTGGCAAGTCGGAAATCTACGAGCATCAAGTCCAATTGTGTTAAGAGCCAAACTGGCGGAAGAAGTAGGGCCCTAAAGAATAACAGCGAAATTTAAACTCACCGTGCACACGACGTAAACAGTATCGCGTGCCAGTCTTGATACTGGTGGCCTTGTATGTAGAAGTTTGATATCCAAGAACCGTCGAGGCGGGTTTATGCATCGGCTCTAAGGGACATAACTCGTGATAATTGTCAACCTCATTGGGCAAGTCAGGAAATCGTACCACATCGGGCTGTGCCAATGTCAGCGCATTCTTCTGCAGGATATCCAGCCGCAGGCTCTCGCTGACAAAAAAGCTGGGAGCAGCTTGAGGGGGTGGTGTGGAGGGGGCAGAGGAATTATTAGATGAAGGTGGTTTCGTGGGTTTCACAGGTTGCAGATGCGAAGGTGTACCTGGATAAACATAGCCAATCTGCCCTCCTGCTATATGTCCGATCTAACATATAAATACAGTGCAAGAATTTTATAAATGTTATTCCCATCTCGTTATTTATGACAAATAAAAAACTTTATGCTTACAGCTTCAGTGCCATCTTCTGCTACGCGCTTTCGTTGCCCAATTAGAGAAGATGATTAAAAGTTGGCGGATGATTACTGCTTGCCCGATTTCTTGTTCGATCGCTCACCTGGAAAAAAACAAGAAATTGCACTTATTTCAATTTTCTTCGCGCTAGAAGTCAAGGAACATTTGGAAATTGATCGATCGAACGAATGACAAACCTTTGGTGGATTTTTTAGTATTGGTCTCTGGTTTACACCTCTTGGTAAGCCGTCGCGTCTTTTCGCAGGATGTGTCACTATTCGCTTTCAGATTATCGGTTCTCGTCATCATTTGATTCACGCATCCACTCCACGTGCCTTTATCGTATCGGCATGCTACAGTCAACAATCGATGAGAAAATACTCAGTATGCCCATGTGCTTTTTGCAGATATAATGTAAATAATGTGCAGCATTAATGTCGCGACTCACCTTTCTTGCACTTCTTCTGAATAATCTTGGTCTGCTCACAGGACTTGTCGCCCTTCTTGAGGTTCAGTGTGCGCGACCGCAAATTAGTATTCGAGTCGCATTCCGACCATTGACCCTTTACGTATCTGCACGACGAAGAGCTGCCGGATGCTGCGTCAGCAGATGCGAAACGTCAATAGAAACAATTGAACGTAACGTCGATCAAGCGAATAAAGAAGGAGAGACTTTTAAAGATGATAGGGAATTACTTAATTATGCCGTTTGTATATGTGTGCAATGTATACATCGACAGTCTGTGTTCGATTATCCTCGATCAAATAATTGCAATTTTATCGAGGAGTAACGGATTAATTTCAGAAAGAAGCACTCACTTCGCTCTTTGGTACCGCGCTCTGTCCGTACAAGAACCTCATCAAGAGGCTTGTCATCCTCGTCCCACAGATCAGCTTCCGCTCGCGCGGTCATCAAAATCATCGACAAACTGATGGCCACGAGAGCCAAACTCCAGTACAGCTTCATTCTGTGGGGAAAAAGCGAGAAGATTCGTTATATTTCACAATTAAAGTCGTTTTAAATATAACGGAGATGTGGTTTGCAACGCTAAAGGCGAATTATCTTAAGACTGATAGATATTTCTTGTATAATAAACGCGTATAGATTAATGCAAAATTATATAAAATTATATATGATAGAGATATACACATAAATATGCAGAATTTTGAAGTTGGAGAATAAGCGTGCTTTGCTTGTCTTGTGTTATCTTTTAAACGTTTCTGCGCCTCAAGACGGAATGCGTAATCCGAGTATCATCCTGAATTTGATAATTCAGTGATAGCGACGACCGCACAGTATTCCCCTTGAGCTTGATCAACAAATCGAGCATTGTGTCAAATTAACGATGACAGAATCTTACGATAAATTCTTCGTAGCAAAGCGCTTTGCTTTTTATATGCACTTTTTATTTCTTCAATATTCTGAAGTCTCTCTTTTACATTTCAAATTTCATGTTGATGTTAATTAAAATTAAAAAAAGTTAGAGATTAATAATATTAATATAATAAATTATATAATAAATAATAATAAAATAAAAAAAGATTTAGTATTATAATTATTTTATACAATTGAAGGATACAATGTATGAAACGTATAATATTTCGGACCAAGTTATAAGTTTGTTAGTAGCATGCAACTTTGAAGTATTGTTATCGGAATCTCTACAAACACGGAAATGCAGACAAAAAATTGGTAAAATGAGAACAACGGTTAGTAGACTGGGGGAACGAAGAGATAAAAATTAAAATGCGATCTATTCGCAATGGCGAATTCTATATATAGATTCTAATAGAATTATATTTTTTTATCCTTTTGGGCGCGATTTGGAGACATTTTCTTCATAGCAATGCCATCCATCGCATGATTGGATTTAATTGAATTCTTTGCGGTTCTCTAATATGAGCTACTTATTATCGCGGGGGAGATCCGGAGGAGATAATCGCAATGAATCTTAATGAGAACGGAGCGCATTGCTCCGAAAAGTTTAATAACTCGGCGCGTTAATGAACATCACAGTTGAGATTCCTTGAATTTAATATCAACGTCATGACATCTTTTGTCGTCCATTCGTCGATTCTCTCTACCGTGAAACGTGACGTATCGTTAACATATCTCTTTATTAAAGATCAACGAATTTTTTTTTCTTTCGTTGTCACGATTTGCTGTAACGTTACAAAGTCTATAATGATATCCCAAAATTTGAGATTTAATTAAAATTTAATTTTAAAGAAATGCCGCGCAAATCCGACGAAAGAATAGCTACCTGCTATCAGCGCTATCCAACGTGCTCGGAAGCTGAGAATTGATTTATCGGAGGGTGCGCGGCGATACGTACGCATAAACGATTGACTCAAGGTCTTTCCTTAGATCGATGCCATCATTTTGCATGCGAGTCGACTCGCCTCCAACGATGACAAATTCGAGCAATCACCAAACTAATGCCACGAAATTAATTAATCACCAACAATCGTTGCAATACGAGTATCGCGCGGAGAGAATTTGGTGACCGACACTTCCATGACAGTGATAAATTATTCTCTGTGTATCGTCGAATATAAGCCATGAATAAGCAGTAGCATAATCTCGATCGCTCCACCAAATCCGAGAAACGTATTCAAGATTCAAAGACGATTCGTGGACTTGGAGATCACATGAGGAGTGAGTCGCACATTTCAAAGCTTCTCAGAGCGCTCAAAGCTCCGACTCGAAAATTTGTATCAGAAGGTCGAAACGTAAATGTAATTCAAAGATCCTAGGAGATACAAAAATATAAAAATATCAAATTCAAGAATATATAGATATGGCAGAAGAAAGAGGTGAAAAAATATCTATTAAAATGCGAAAAATCTCTCCAGAAGTCCGATACAACAATTCGTTCGGTGGCGTACCTACATTTCACGTCCTTACAATCATTCTCTCCATTAGTCGACATTGAAACAATCAGCGCCCGTCAGTAATCTTGACGGACCACACGGGTATCGCCGGTCGGTTCTCCTCCCCTCGCAAATCTCCGCTCATGTTCAAACAATTCGCAGGGAAAATCGTTCAATTCGCGCACGTATGGATTGACGGAATTGACAAAATTATCGTCACATCAGAAACGCCGGACGCGAATGAGACGAGCGAGCGGACGTTGCCTTGTTCAAGTTTGCCGTCGAACCTATTGTCGGCTCAACAACGTCGCGATGTGGGTGAGCAAAAGAGAGAAAGAAAATGAGAAAGAGAGAAAGTAAGAAGAGACGGAGCGAGAGAGATATCGGCGAGCAAAGCAGATAATATGTCGTCGAATATAGACCGGCGGGGACTTGCGGTCAACATATCCCAGAGAGCAAAGGGACGTTGCCCGATGTCCAGATATACGTTCGCGGCGAGAGTTGAGATATGCTCGACTTATGAGTTGAACGTTCTTATCTTGTTTTTTTTTTCTTCAATTGCCATGAAAAAATGAAATTTTTATTTCAACAGATTTTTAACTGAGAAGAGAGCAAATATTGCAAATATATTAAATGAAAACTGAAAAACAAAACATTAAGATAAACACGGATCCGAGATAAACACGGAGCGTCAGAATCTTCTACTCTTAGTGCATCCATAATTGATAAACACAAGCATTTAATTAAACACAAGTATTTAATTAAACGTCCGCAGAAAAAGATACGAATAAAATAAAATGTTCACGTCCAAGTAACGTATGCCTAATAACATATCGTATATTATACTAAAAGTATGAAAACAGAGAACGTAATTTATCCATAATGAAAAAATAAATTCGTAGATAAAGCGAAGGCTTGTTGCGCGCGAGATATCAGACTAAAAGGCGGACAGCATGAATTAAATGCGAAACAAGCGCTCTCCAGAAGCGTGATTTACGTTACCCCTTTATTACTGTCATTTAAGACATATGCTGAATATGTAGCTCTCCTCTCGGGAGAGAGAAAGAGAGGGAGAGAGATAGAGCAATAACAAATTCTCAAACTGATAAATTTTTCGCTTGTCAAAAATTCTGCTGGTATAAAATTTTAATTTCTCCAACATACGCGCAGGATATACGTTCTTTCGGATTTCAGTCTCTGAAACTTTGTTACAACTATATTGCTCCTATAATATTCTACTTGCAAAAGTTTAAAACTTTAGTACCTTGGAACATTGACTGCTTTTAAACTCACGTAGATATTTTTATATATTTATTTATACGTACTATATATACATATATATGTAAAATACTGATTTATCATTATAACAAAAGTTGGCCTATTCTAAATCAAGACTAGAACGGAAATATCGCGTTGAGAGAAATTTTTTTTTTTTATCTTTTTCGCTACATTGATAATTCTATTAGCAGATCAAAAAATGGCACAAAAGAATATTTTTCGCCATACGTTCCACAGAGACTATTCGTTATCTATTCTACAACTCGTCAGTAGAGACTCTTTTATAGAGTAAAAGAAGGATAGAATTAACATATTCTCAGTAAGCTGCGCACAAGGAAATAGGAATAAGATCCTAGAAGATGAGAAACTAGACGTCGCCTAGAAACAAGCTCTATCTTTCAGCTTCAACGCGCTGCTATTGCGCTCGCGCAACTTAACGCGCGTATAAATAGCTCGAAAATGAGGGGTTAAAAGGTTACGGCGTGTCTGTGTTGCAGTCCTAAAAAACTTGTGTGTCGTTTTACAGACCTACGCGCTGGCCACGCAGCTGTAGAAAGTAACGAGGGCAAATTAGTCATCATTTTGCTCGGACGCTCGCGCGTAATCGGGATGAATTGCCCGTCCCGTCTGAAACGCGAAGAAAATCGCCGAGATATGTAATAACTTTTATTTATATTGAAAAAAAAAGAATATGAAAGACATATACGCCGGAATTTTAAGTGAAGAATAGAACTTTCATCGTTTGCGCATCGCTAAAAACTCGACACATATATACAACAGTTTCCCATCAAGTTTTTCAGTTGCCCTTTACAATCAAATCGGTACCTCCGCATAGAATAAAACAACAACTCATCAGTTCTTTTTTCTTATCAGTCTTTTCGTGCAAACTTCTTTGCACATTTCTATCTACTTTTAAAGTTTTTTTAATTATACAGAATTCTTAGAAAACCGCGTGTAAAAGATTCTTAGAGATTTAGGAAGAAGATGATGCACGCTTCTATTCCAGATTGAACCCTAAAGACAGCAAAGAGCGTGAAGGGTCGGATAGAGGATGATAAAGAGCGAGAGAGCGCGGGGGGCGCGAACGGAAGAAGCATCGATCGTCGTTGCGTCGCAGACGAGCGCGCACGGTGGAAAAGCTGCTTTTAGTTGTGTGGTCCCGGAGCGGTCTCGCGCACTGCGGGAAAGCGCTGGACCAGCAGCGAAGCGCAAAAAACTCTCCACATCACGTCGGAAGAGAGAGATTCAGGGGCGGGTCTCCGCTCCGTTCCGTTCGCTCGCTTGCTCGTTCGCGGAAAATCGATCAGCAGCGCCGGGCGGCGGCGTCGGAGTCGGCGTCGGCATTCTGGTTCTCTTCCTCTCTCTCCCTTTCGCCCTCGCGAGAGACTCACCTGCCACGGGGATGCCAAACAGCGGGCCAAGCTCGATCAGCTTCCAGGCGCACTTCCGGCTAGTTCCGTAGTTGCGCGGCAACACGTAGTCGTGGATACACTCAAGATGCTGCGTAGGGTAGGATACGTTCCGTGATGATGATGCGACTGCGTGATCGGCGCGTCGTACGAAGAAAGGACGTTCTGTGTGCCTCTCCTCAGCGTTGCGTTGCCGTCGACTGCTGCTACGTGTTGCTGCCGCCACTGGCACTGCCGCCGCCGACCGGAGTCATCCCCCTCCCCGGGATCGGTCGCGGCATCCCTCAGGCGCCACGCATATCCTCCCCGCTCCGTCTGCCAATCTTCCCCTTCTTCGCCGTCGTCACCATGGTGATCATCCCTCCTAGGAAAGAGAAAGGCGAGACTGGATAAATAGAAATAGAACCAGAACCATGGAAAGAGAGAGAATTATATAGGCTGTTTCAAAATAAAATTAAAGTCTTTACAGAGGCATATTCGCGCACGCCTCTTGTTAAAAATTAAATTCTTGAACTTTTCAAATTTATGGTATATAAAAGAAATAGATATCATGACACAGTTTTTTTCCATTGTAATTATGTGTAATTACATGTATATACTTATATATAACATTATAAAAAAGTTTACACTTTTAAAAAAGGATACAGGAAAATTCATTTTTTGGTGATAGGCGAGAAATAATGACAATGCATTATTTAGGATTGCTTTCAAAAATAAACATTTATTTCAAAATTAATGCTTACCATTAATGCTGTATCCTAGAAACTAAGGTCTCTATCCTAGACACCGAGTGTTTAGGTGTTGTCTTAAGAAGATCCCTTAAGAATATACTGCATTGTTGTGTGTGTACAATTTTTTTTTTATGTATAGTACCGTAATGGGCTTTATAGAGCGAATCCAAACCTTAACTGATTCGCAAAATCACATGATATCTCCCCTCCCCCCCTCGTCCCTCCTACGAACTCACACTTTAAACTTTTAAGAGATCAAAACTCCAAAGAGAGATCCAAGACTCAGTAGATACAGGAATTCAGACTCAAAAATCCAAGAATTGCAAAATCTGAGGATTCTGAAATTCAAGCGATTCAATGCGAGTCTATAATATATGAGAATTCCAAAGTCTAAAGACTCCAAGATCCAAACTGGAAAATCCAAAAAAAAAAACCCAAAATAATTTAAGGATCTATAGATCCTTAACACTTACAAACCCGAAAATTTAACGTCTTACATCCTAAATGCAACGCATTTAATGCGGTCATATTTAATTGATTCGACGAGCAAAATCATGTATACAAAACTGAGTTGCGCGTTATTTTTTATATCACCAAGCACAATTCGACAGTTCTCACTCTCCAGTAACTCGATAAAGAGTAAAATGATAGTACCGCTAAGTGATGATATCACATTTATGGTTCGGAGTATGCGCTATCGAGGACGCTCTCTTAAACAGCATCTTTTGTAGATTGTACCAGTTCTCCAAATGACGTTTCCAGGCATTGCCGTAGCTCCGCGTAACTTACCACCAGAACACTCTGCTCATCTCGAGACATGAGACATATCTGTAATAATACATATTTTATGATTATTTTTATATACATTTGTTGAAAAATTATTAGAAATTTTTACCTTGTCCTGCGAGCCGGAATCGAGCTTGTTTAAACAAGCTACGACGTGTGCTAGATCCAACCAGGGCCTACCATCGGCTGTTACTTGATGAAATACATAGTCCCTAAACAATTTGAGCATGTAGCGATCGCCCGTTTCTGCCCATGTGGGTTCCATATTAAGTTCTGGCCTCTCGTTAATAGTTGCCAGTTTGACCAGCAACTTAAATAATCGTCCATTCTCTAATTCCTTGGCAAGTTCGTTTTCTAAAACGTCCAATCGTAACTGGGCAGCATCCAGCTGTGTGTAAAATCGCGCACCAATCATTGGCATGAGATCCGTGACGCTTTTACGAGGTTGACTTGACAGCAAGTATCTAAAAATTATAGTTACATTACACTGTTAAGGCTGATTGATGTCAGAAGCAAGAATCTTTTTCTTATATTATACATCAAAATAAATTGTTTTTTTTCTGATCATAATAAATATTAAAGCTAGTTTATAGATTTATGAAATATGCTAAAGACTCTTTTCACTTTGTCTATTTATAAATATTACCGGAAGCTTTTTTTTATCAAAAACAATGCTATTACTACTGATTGAAGAATTCACAAACATACAGAATAAGATTTCGAAGGTCAGTAGAGTAGGAACGTGTGATCAGCTCGATGGAGGCAGACATATTGTCGCGGTGGACGGCGATAAGACTCCGACATGCCAGCGCTAAGACTAGCTTGCCGAGAGCTACTAAATCCTCTTGCTGATAATGCGGGATGAGAGTGAGTGGATTCGCGGCGTTCCCATCTAAAGTGACCACGTCTGGAATGGCGACGCAACTTAAACGAAGTCGCGTCCGTGATGTAAGTAGTACCTTAGTGGGATCTAAGCATCTATATGCCAAGCCTGTAAAGCGCGCAAATCAGACTAATGCAGTTTGAAGCTAATTAAATAAATTGAGTGGAAAATAAAGATTTAAAGATTTATGGATAAAATAAAGTCGGACTTGATAGATTTTGTAATAGAACACAATTATACCGCCCTTTAAGAAAAAGAAAAAAGTTGGCAAGAACAATATAATAATATGTATACTAACCAGCAGCATGAATAACGCGAAATGCGGCAGTGAGTTGAATGATATAGCTCCAAATAACGCTTTCTGGTAGCATACTACTATGCTGCTGCCTTAGAATAGTGTTCTTGGTGTGACTATAAGGCCGTGGCGCATTTGGATCCGACGAGAACGGGTCTGTATAACCATTAAGTTCGGTCGAGGCGAAATGCTTATTCAGCAACGTCTCCGAAGCGGGATGATAATCGTATACGAAAACCATGGCTAAAAAAACTAAATCTGTGAGATTGCGCAAAAGATCAAAGGCATGAGTGCGTTTCTTAAATACTGACAATGATCACCGAACGCTTTGGTAGTGAAGACTTCTCTTAGCTGAACTAGATTCGTATGTGACAGCCGCTTCCACATGTCGACCAGTACCATACACTTTGTGTTGGCAAGTCGGAAATCTACGAGCATCAAGTCCAATTGTGTTAAGAGCCAAACTGGCGGAAGAAGTAGGGCCCTAAAGAATAACAGCGAAATTTAAACTCACCGTGCACACGACGTAAACAGTATCGCGTGCCAGTCTTGATACTGGTGGCCTTGTATGTAGAAGTTTGATATCCAAGAACCGTCGAGGCGGGTTTATGCATCGGCTCTAAGGGACATAACTCGTGATAATTGTCAACCTCATTGGGCAAGTCAGGAAATCGTACCACATCGGGCTGTGCCAATGTCAGCGCATTCTTCTGCAGGATATCCAGCCGCAGGCTCTCGCTGACAAAAAAGCTGGGAGCAGCTTGAGGGGGTGGTGTGGAGGGGGCAGAGGAATTATTAGATGAAGGTGGTTTCGTGGGTTTCACAGGTTGCAGATGCGAAGGTGTACCTGGATAAACATAGCCAATCTGCCCTCCTGCTATATGTCCGATCTAACATATAAATACAGTGCAAGAATTTTATAAATGTTATTCCCATCTCGTTATTTATGACAAATAAAAAACTTTATGCTTACAGCTTCAGTGCCATCTTCTGCTACAATAGCATGATCGCTGGTTGCATTTCCAAAATAAAAATATGTAGTGCCACCTACATTCTCTTGCGAATGGGTGTAAGAGTTGTTGAAGAGATTCGGTGAGCTGCTATTGCTGCCTGCAAGGCCTCTCCCTGGCACAAATTCAGGACTGGCAGTTACCTTCTTTTGCGAATCCAAAGAAAGATTGGACAAGTGCTTAGTCACTGTGTTTGTGCTCAATGTTACGCCAGGACTTGGACGATTCTGTTGATGAAAAAAAAGAAATCACATAAAGAAGAATTATTTAAAATGCTCTCATGTTACCATTAATGCAAAAATAATCGTTTACCATGTAGGTAGCAAGCTTGGATTCCAATGGAACTCCATTTGTTTGGGGAGTATATGTAACAAATATTGATGGATCCATCGTTTCCTCAGCCACTGCATTTACTAATTTCGTTCTTATTCTCTTTCACCCTTACTCTTTGTATTGTCCTTAATTAAATTCACCACACACTTTTTTCTCGCGTTGACTTTTATACAAAATGCCTTATTTTGAAATTTTCTTCTTCTTGTCTTGCAAGCATAAATCAGAATTCCATCTTCTTGTAACATATCTTTAAACATAAATAAGAATACTCACAGAACCATATAAGGCAAAATAAAGAAATATAAGTAAGCTTTTTAATGTACATTTAATAAGTCTATTACTGACCTAGGTACAATATCTTTTTTAAGTTTTACGTAAATTCAATACCATATAGCACAGATATATACCCAGTCTGACAAGACTGATTTCTGTTTTAGAATAAAAGATTCATCAGCTGCAAAACCACGTATATCACACTCTAAACAACGTATACCTTGATCAAAAATTAATTGTACATAAAGCAAACCTATGGTTATTCCATGCTTTCTTCTCAGGGTCACAACATTACAGAAAAAGAGATCAAGAGAATAATAGTCGCAAACGCGAAGTGCTCAGGTAGAGCAAATGAAAATAAAGAAACGTGAACGAGCGCGACGGCAGCTCGGATGAGAGGGCTGGCATGGTGAAGGAAAATAAAGAAAAGACAAGAGAGCGCCAAAGAGCCTAGTATAATGGCAGCTGATTATGACAAGAGGCCGACGGGGAGAGCGCGCGACGAACAATGCACTCGGTTCGGCTCGGCTTCGCGAACGCACGCCCGGTAGCGGGGTTAAACGCGAAAAACAGACGCCGTACGATTGCCGATACGTAGCCAGTAAACGCGCGAGTATACCTTGAATACTTGAATCGCCGACATAACCCATTCGTTGTCACCGCTGTCGTGTCGCGGCTGTGCTGTGCGTCGCTTATTAAGCGACGCAACGGCGCGGAAATTCCGCGGCTCGCCACCGTAGTCGGGTGACGGACGGACAGACGGATGGTTGAGAGGGGGGGGGGGGGGGCCCGCGTAATTCTTACAGTAAAGATTCCGTGCGATAGAGCGTGGCCGACCACAGTGTCACAGCATTGCACAGCATCGCTTCCATTGAACGGACGATAAAAGTGAAAGCGCACACAACCCGCTCCGTTTGCTCCGCCTGATGCCGCCGTATGTATGTACCTACGTGCGTGCGTGTTTACGGTGCAGGCTCTCTCTCCCCGTTTTCTCCCCCTTCCTCGGCTCGGGCTTCTTCCTCTCCCTATGTGTGAGTGTATCGTCACCGCTATCCAGATCGTGGCCTTTTCCTCCCCCTCCCCCTCCCCTCCTCGCGAAAGCGCGCGCTCCCGCCAGCCATCGCGGTCCCTTCGATCGCAGCTGTCCCGCGGTCCCGCGGTAGCCTGTCTCCTCTACCGTAGAAGAATGGCGGCCGTCTATTGCGACTACGTTCATTCGAATCTCTTGCCATGACCAAGCTTTCTTTTAGAAAATACTCGACGAGGTAAAGATACCTCACCCTCGATAAAAATGCAATTTCTAGCTAGGAAAAAAAAAAAAAAAAAAAATAAAGTCGAACATATGATGCGTATTGAGCACATATGCTGCGTATTGAATATCTGAGGCTATTTGTATGCGTACAACGTATTATATTTTCTACGTGGGAAAGGATATTTCAACATGCGTGGTTTTCTTCTCGATAATTGACGAAACGAGAAATGACATTCCTGAATATATATTTTTAGCTATATTTTTATGTACTTGACGTAGCGACGCTACTGCGTCGCTTGATAAATATCCATTTTTTTTAAACATTTTGATTTCGATAAGATCTCGATACGATAGGCAATCGAAATGTATTTTCGATCTTATTTATATGAAAAATTAATTCTATGATCTAAAATGAATTATATTCTCTTTTTATGTCTGAAAATATATAATCTTTAGAAGGCAAAATCTTATTTGTATTTAATATGCATATACGATATTGTAAAAAGTGAAAAGCATTGGTCAAAAATGTTAAGAAATATTTTCACAATAAGTTATTTTACTCTGAAGTTGCTTGCGAAGCAGTGGCGTCTCTAGCAGCGACGCTAGCAACTAATGTTTCTCGCACTTTCTAGATTTGTGCATTAGCCGCATGCCGCATTAGCGTTTGGACACAACACATGGTGTGAGGTACTGATAAACTATACGAGAAAAAAAATTAATTAGACACAATGATCATCCCTGTACGCTGTTTTACGTGCGGAAAAGTAATTGGCAATAAATGGGAGGCATATCTTGGACTTCTTCAGGCAGAATACACGGAAGGGTAACGTTTCTATGTCTGAAATTTTGATTTCTAACCTCGAAATTGTTGAAATTGGATTGTTAATTTTGTCATTACGTTGCATGTTGTTCTAACAGTCGTCTACTTTACTCTAAAAGTGATATCTGTATTAAATCTCACAAGATGAGAAAATCAGATAATTTGATAGAGATGATTTGTGTATTTCAGAGATGCCTTGGATGCGCTTGGTCTTAAAAGATATTGTTGTCGCAGGATGCTGCTTGGGCATGTAGACCTAATTGAAAAGTTACTTAACTATGCGCCACTAGAGAAGTAACTTATTTAACATTAATAAATCTTTACATCTATTTTTGGAAGTATTTTGATATATCAAATTCACACACACACACACACACATGTAAGTTATATAAATTATTGAAGTTACTCTAATTTCTGATCTCTCTCTATCATAAGGTTTTATTATAATTATAGGATGTAAAACAGCATTGTTTGCTAATAATCTATTTATATGATAAGTACGTTTTGTTAACAAAAAGAATTAAAACAGTTTTATTCGCAATCAAATTGATTTTTTTTTTAATCTTACGTGATTTTATAAAAAATAAAATGCAATTACATTATGGCAACAGTAATGCTGCATATAAGATAAAAAATTAAAAATATAAATTGAAGGGCAGTATCCTTTTTACAAAATGTAAAATTATTTTTATTTCATAACTTTAACCAATGCCATGTGTTACAAAATTCTGTTATAAATGGTAAAAATTTTATTTATATAAAAATTTGTCTGCTCATAATAAGAGTCGAAGCAATATATATATATTCTGTGTACACGTGTATACTTGGTTCTCAAAAGCATATTTTAATGTTTATTTTAAATGCAATGTTGGAAGACTGCCTGACTATGCTTGAGCAACGTTTCTTCTATAATGCAGGTGGCATGCATTCATTTCACACAGAATCTGTTATTTTTTCTCGGAATGCGTTTTTAAATCCTTGATTCAATTATTTATTTTGTAAAAATATTTCTTTTTACTAATATAATAGTAAACATTAAAATATATACCAGTTAAGATATAGCGTTATATATATATTGTAAATTTTGTCAAATTTAGTAAAAATACGTGTGGGCGTTTTTTATCAAAATATCTTTCTGCAAGGCAAGATTATGTAGATAATTTGCTGAAAAATTACAATTAGATTTCTTTAATTACAATTTTGTATAAATGCACAATATCAAAACTTCTGTTCTATATCGTGGAATTAAATAGTATATAATAGACATTATTTCGATAATATACAAATTATTTTCTAAAGAAACTTTGCGTTCCTTACTCGCATATCATTCGATCGCAATAATTCATTCATGCTTTGCAGCGGATTTTCTCCTAAGTGAATACTGCCATTATTCCTAAATCTACATTTGCTTATCATTTCTGACTTATAGCATACAGTCGAATATTATTTTAGATGAATAAAAATTTTCTATATTTTGTTGGAAAATCTTAAGATTCTAAGAGAAAATTTGAGCTAATTACACAGTTCAAATCCATTATTCCTGTTTAAAAATTCACTGACACCCGCCCGCGAGCGTAATGTTTGATTTATATCTGATTTATTCTAAAATATCGTTAGGCGTGTGGAGGGAGCAGATCTAACATATGATAGAAAAATTCATTGTATAACCTATCGCTAAATCATTTGCACTAAATAAAAAATGGAAAATATTATTTCCATCAAGCATACAATTTCACAATGTCCATTATGGCACTGCGCGACCCAAATATTAGTGCCATTATACCTATCACGCATATAATTACATTCTTTAAAGCTACCCAATTTCCTGGCCCGAAGCCGACATCCCAGTAAGTTACAGTCTCGATGAATACCGGAATGAGGAGGCCCAAAATGGAGAAACAAAATGCACCGATTAATCCGATAAACGGTTCGATGGTCGGCACTGCTATGGCGAGTAGAACTGCGCAACGATTACCCCTTATTATATCATCAATTTATAACATTTCAAAAAATTCGAAAAATAAGATGTCTCTGAATGCATACCTGCACCGCATACCAGCACCGTCCTCATGATATAATTAGCTAAAAGTGGTTTCTTCTCGAAACGATGTTTTATAAAGTTCCACCCAATATCGAGGCACACGTAAAACTGCAGACCGAAAGTGCAGAACACAGCCAGAGCGATCAAAATCTTCACCACTTGCGCCGCTCTGAAAAAGTTGACCACAAAAATATAGAGAATCAGCTGACATGTATAGATGCGTAAACTTAATTCTTAATCAACTTGATGTCTTACATTTCTTCTGTCGGTAGATTAAGGGTAATGCTACCTAGCGTCTCGTCCTGATATTTGACGTATCCAAGAAATCCAAGGAAAATGTATACAAGCGTAACTCCAGACATCCCCTTGTTGAGAACTCCGCAGATTCCCACAAAGTGCTGTGGCGTTTTCATGCTATTCTCGAGAGGCATTACCACACCGATCGCTTCCATGGCGAAGATAGTAATGCTGAAAAATTGCGGGAAGGTCTCGATCGACCCTATCAGAGGTACCGAAGATAACGGCGGCAAATCCCAGACGAGATAGTAGAACGTTATTCCCAGTCCTGTCCCCATAAAGATGTTTGCTACCATCGAAACCGGTGCCAGGTACTTCAAGTCGGGTACCCAACTGAGTAGAATCATCGGTATCAGCAAATAGGCGGTGATCAACCGGATGCTATATTCGCCAGCATCACTGTCTTGATAATGTTCGATAATTTGTTTAAAGTTGGCGGCCACGATTACCGCGTACACGCTGCAGGTGCCGAAGTATGTGACGAACAGACTGATTTGAATGAGATACCTATAAACGAGAAAGAGAGAAATTCAACTTTAATGTATTTGTTTTAGAAATTAATCATACATTCGAAAAACAAAGCTAATACTTGGAAGGTTTCGCGAACTTTCTCGCCCATTGAGGGCCATTATCGAAAGCCACCTCGGCCACCTCAGCGAATCCCATTTCTGTTTTTCGAGTTTTGTGGTAAAGCAGGTGCGCACATTTGACCTGGAAAAGAAAGATATGATAGATATTATTCAATTCGTGTAATCAAATTTATATATTGTTACATTCGAGAAACTAGGCTATCTCTTGAGCCGTGATAATGTCACAATATATAAACAAATTTTTATTTATCTGTCGGAAACTCACCAGAATATATGCGCAGTGCGTGCACACGAACGCGACAAGTATCGTGGCAAATATACCCAAGAGCAATCCGGCACTTTTGAAAGCTATAGGCATAGCCAAGATGCCACTGCCAAGGGAGGCCTTCAATAAGTGCGTCAATGTGTCGCAATCCCTGGAAGTATCATTTATCGGTTAGACAGATCAATTGCATAATTTCTCTCAGCATCAATGATCAACATTAAAAAAGTTATCGCTCTAAGGTGGAATTACAAGTGCTTCTCGTATCACGTTTTAATTATGTTGCAATGTAAATCTGTTAGTGTAACTGTATTACTCAAATTAAAGAGATGAAATAATACGAACCGCAATATGCTTTATGACGGCAGTAATATAGACAAGTCATGTAAGATAATTATAATGCGGATGTGTGAATAAATAATAAACGATGTTTAAATTATATATCAGATTGAAATAATAGGCAAAAGTTAATAATAGACTTGTATATCTAACACATTTCTTAATTAAGTACATTCGATATATCTGAAAAGGGATTTATGTCGCGAGAAAAACGAGATTAATATTTTCTATTTTTACCTACATCATTAATATACGATCGCTCTTTTTTATTTAATCTGCTTGCAATTATTATATGATGTTTTATTATTCTTCGAATATGCGGGCAAAAAAACTTACCCTACATATTAAAATACAAAATATTTAAAAGCACGACGTGAGAAAGACAATCAGTGCTATGCGATTAAAAAAAAAAAAAATATTGTTCCTTACGTCGTCGGATTTTCAACTTTGCGTTCTGCAAAAGGATCGAAACTCTTCTTATCAGCCAGCGCGGCTTCAACGTCGCGCGAGGCAACTTGTACTTTATATCTGAAATACAGATACATACACATAATTCCTAACAATCCGTCATCTATATATTTATACGCTCGATTAATCATATAAAATGGATTTCACTTCTCAAGCGAAATCAATCGATATCTTACTTGGCAGATAGGACGCCATCCTTGAGATTGGATCCATCCTGAGGCAGGAAGGTCTCCAACTCCGTCGGCGCTTTGTCGTTTTCAGTCTACGTCAAAAACACAATGAAATATAATTGAGAACCATACTTTATTCATGAGGACAAGAGCGCGAACGAATGGCGTAAGATAATTATGACGCAGATAGATTTGAATAAATAATTAAGCACGCACAAACAACGGATAAGTCATATATGTTGAATTGAAACTTACCATTGTGGCTGACGCTAGTAGATATGTTATCTGCGTTGCTATTACCTGAAAAACATATATACATAAATTAAATGAGATCTTTTTTATCATGTTATTATCGTACTATAAAAACGAAAGTTTATGAAAGCAAGGGGAACTTATGACAAGGGAATCCTTATATATAACATTTTTTTCGCTTATAATTTATGTTCTGATAATGTGTGGTCTTGATAATACAATATGATAAACAGAATTCCTCTCCATATGTGTACAAAAGGCGGAGATTCGTATTAAATTCATATCTTCTGAAGGATAATTTTCAGTTTCTCATGTTTCTTTAATGATGCAAAAGCAAGAGGAATAACGAATATAAAACGATATAATCAAGTCTACGATCGACAGTGTTGTTGTTATAAACACATTAGAATCCTTATTAATGTAACAACTTTGTTTAAGTAATATCCTTATGCAATCTTGACCACAACATAAAAATACATTAATGCAGTTTGACCACGTCGACATACACTGTATTATGTACATTTGAAAAATAATGTTTTTATTAATGCGGTTTGAGGAAATCTTTATGTTGCGCAATATGTTCTGCTCTTGGCGCCGCCAATTTCTGTCTGCTTCTCTATGACACTTGTGACAATCAGATTACACCTAGAGGCGTAGCATCATTTATACGCGCATCGTCACAATTCAATCGTACTCGACAAGATTACATTATGCATGTATTGCATTATGCATGTAGCGTATGTACACAAAAGAACGTTTGTATCTTCTGTTACTTCCGGGTTCACGAACTCGGACAAAGTGAACAATCACGCACTTGTGTGATTTTAGATAAGCGCGGTAATCCATTACTTTAATTGTTAAATTAAAACAAGAAAAGCCGCGTAAAAATTAAATAGACGCGACCAAGGAGTCAGTCAGAGTTTTCAGGATAGAACTTCTTTCCATATTTTTTCTACGTGGTATTTTTTGAGCAATAGTATCCTGTGAAGAGTCAAATTACAGCTTGTCTACACATATGATAAACGTTAAGGTCGAGATAAGAAGAAAGAACCTCTCTCAAATTTCTCTCGTTCACAATTCTAAGAATTTCACAATAAAAATCACAAAATGATCGGTTAAAATTTATATAGCATAATATTGAAACTTACTGAAAACGTGATTAAACAAATCAGAATTATAAATGTTCTTTTTACATTAGTAAAAAAGTTTTTTCGTAAATCATAGATGTTGCTTGAAAATGCTATTAGAAAGTGAAAATCGAATTATAAGTACATTTTATTATATTTCTATTTATTATTTTTAATTATTATACTTCTTTATATCTGTCTTTTCGTTATTTTAGTAATTAAAATGTGCAAGGTTATCAAGAATATGATTAGATAACAGAATGTAATATAACATTTAAAAGAAATATGCAGATAATCCATAATAAATGTAAATTTCCTGTGTTAACTGTTCAAGTGTTCAATGTTTAAGCTGATGATGTATTTCTAAAATTGCATATTTCTGCGAGATGCTCGCTAGTTCGCGTTGTAATTTAAATTCGATCAGCGATGATAGCGTTAATGATACGCGAGTGTTGGTTGTTATTTGCGATAGCAATTTTCCAATTGTCAGATAAAGTCTAACAGGTTTAAGAATAAAAATAATGATACGATACGAATGAACGATACATATATATCGTTATATTGATACATATGATCAATATTGATCATCGCCGTTATCTCGCCAAATATTTTATTTTAAAAGTCCCGACGAGGCAAAAAAAATCGGCCGAACAAATTGACTTTGTCCACGGAAATCGGAAATGTAATAATTGACATGCAAGTCAAATCAATCTTTGCTTTAATACTATTTTGAGATCGAGCGAACACGCCCATCATCTATGTGCGATTACCGAATATCTACTATAATTGATTTTGACATATTTTCACTGATTGTTACTGTCCATTATACATTGACGACTAATATGCTGTTACATAAAATAGCACTTAAATTGGCGTGAGATAATCAAATGTGAAATAATTGTAGATCAATGTGTACGGAGAAATCGACAGATTCTTAGTCTCTCACGATATAAGCAAAATAGAAAGCTTCAAGTTGTAGGACAAGGTTTGCGATCCTTGATCTTATTATACGCGCTGTCATAGAGATTGATCAGATATCGGGCACCGACTGTTTGTAATTATACTGAAGTGATATCGATAGAGACTTCATCATTTTCGGGTGATCTCACGAAGCAGAGCTCGATAAACGAGTTACAAGTATAATCAGATAACTGACCAAGTCGCCATAATAAATTCGATCAATTAACGCGTGTCAGTAATTGATTCTCGTGCTAATTAGATCGGTCATTAAACTCTAGCTTAATTTCCTAATAATTATGATTAATCCTGCACCTACGATCAAAACTGATCTTATCTTTTTCGCAGAAAGTATCTAAAAAATAACAACCAAGATGTTATTAATTTTAAACGCGAACGTAAACCAACTACATATTAATCTATTTGACTTAATTTATTTTTGACTAATTCTTGATTACAAAATAACAACCAGAATATTACGAGTGTTGGCTGAACGTAGACTGGCTATCATTTATCATTTTATCAATATCAGTTTGTCTTATCCAATTCTCTTGACTAATTATTGACCAGAAAATAATAACTAGAATTATGTGAGTTTTGTCTGAGTATAAACTAGTTATCATTTAGTTAAAAAAATATTGTGTGGATAAAATTTTATTTATATCGTTAGATACTAATCACAGTACATAGATAATTTTATTTGTTAATAGCCAACGCGCACGCGTTGCCTTAAAAAAATCCATTTGCTAGATAAAAAAAATAGCCAAAAATTAAAAAGAAATAAATTTTTAATAGCTAGTGTTGCGTTAAGAACATTTTCTGAACAAAGAAAAATTAAAAAATGCTTTTTTTAACACAGCGCCAGCTATTAAAAAATTATTTGTTTTTTTTACATAACCGATACTGTGTTATTAAAGCTGACGCTAATTGATCAGTCCATCCGTTTGGCCTGATTAGTTTCTGGTCATTCTTTTTCTAGGAAATGTTTTTTTAATACAGTGTTAGCTATTAAAAAATAAAATTATCTATGCGCCGATTATAATAGCTTGCCATCAAATAGAACTTTATCTCAGAATTTTTTACTCAACGCGCGTTAAACAGTTACTGTCCAATAAATACAACATAGTAAAAATTGGCCAGTTTTTAATTTGTAATCAGTTTTTCCCCGAATCACGTTTTTCTACTCATGTCAGAGATTAATCTGTCTTTGCCAAGTCTTGGGGTAAAATTAATTTCGCTAAAATTAATTTTAGCGAATAGAGAAGATAGAGCATTTTCGAGTTATGAGTGAGAACTGTCTACGTATGTTCATCGTTCGGTCGCAAGGAATATGACGCCGTTATGCAAAACCGCAAAAAATCTAAGGTCACGTTTCTCGCTTGGTGTCCGTATGCTTAACACGTGAGCGCCACGTCGTACAATACTGATTATTTTTTATTAAAATATTATGTATATATATATATATAGCATATATAAAAAAATATATATTATATTTTAATTTAAAATTATGACAGTATTGCGTAACGTGGCGCTCACGCATACATATGTGTGTGTAATTATAAACATTTAAAATAATACTAAAATAATGTTAATGAAACAACGCTTTTAAATGAAAAAAACGTACATAGTTGAAATAAAACACACTTTATATATTTTGAATGACTGAGAATCAAGATAAAAAAACTATTCAAACATATTTAGTATAATTGCTGCATAAAAACGATTTTTTCCTGAGTGCATTAAATATAATCCATACACGATAACTAAAAATGAAACGGATAACGCATGCGATACTAAAATAAAGAGCCGGTTCATAATTTCGCGAGAAAACGTCAATTTGCAAATAATCCGTTCACTGAACGCAAGTTGACGTGGCAACTATCTATCTATCTTATCACAAGTCTCCGTTTAAAGTTTCGACGAGTATGCCTTTCGATTTTACTGTACGCCGGATATGCAAGGACGATAAGCGCAAATTATGAGGCTAAACGCGGAAACGAATTATACTAGGAATTTGGCTATCTGCCAGCAAAACGTACAATAAGTCAGTATCGAAACTATGTGTAATCGATTATTGCTCAGAAACGAAGATACTTACAAGTAACGACTAACACGTGCGTTTCTTATAACGGATTAGCTATACTTAAATTGCCAGTTTATATTTATATTCTTTATGTACGTAAAATTAAAATAAAAAATGGTTTTTTGCGTGTATGCTTTAATTTCATCTTAAAATATAGGATGACAAGATATATACGAGGAAAGCATATAAGATATGTAAGAAGATCTAGATGACATGATATATACCAAAGACCTGGGGGATAGCTAAATATATCCAACGGTCCCTCGAAGATGCCGATTTCATGACATTTCTAAGATACTTAAATGCCAAACGTTCAAAAAGTACAAGTGAAAAATTCAACGCGACATGGAAGTATCTAGCTCTCTGCAGCACGAAAACGATATGTCGAGTTCTGCGAAATTGCAAAATGTCGCAGTCGAGTTAGCAGTTTTTTTTTTTTTTTTTTCAACATACTTTTGAATCGGTACAGGACATCGAGAATAGTTGGTCGCCGGTATACTATTTCACATGTCGAAGAATGTGTTAACGCATTACTGACAACTGCAAGATATCACTCGAGGAATCTAAACAGTTCGGTTTACGTTTCAATTAAGAACGAAGGTAAATGCGAGTCTTCTTCGTATACTTCTATGTGACAATTGCTGAAAAACGTATTGTACATATATATGCAGCTGTACGCTGCATACAACTGTCTTTTTCCTCTTTACGCGCGTCCGGTTCATCAAGTTACACCTGTTCCTCCTTAATTATTATATAAACTTTCGGAGTGATAACGCTATTGCGGAAAAAATTCTGGCACAGCGGCTCTATCGGTGCTCGTCCGAAATATCGGCAAGCAGTTACATCATGCGAATATAATTGTGTGCGATAAAAAGACGCCGTGGCCATACAAGTCGCGCCTACACGTGGTCGCTTTGACGAGTGATTATTCCGAAATCACCATATGATTTGCCATTCATTGCAGAATCCGCAACTGTCTATGATAAAAATAAAGGATAGCGCGAAAAGTGGGAAATATTTTTCTTATTTAAAGAAAGATTTCCTAAATTAAATTAAAAATTAAATTTCTTATTTAAAGAAAAATATTTAGGAAATCAATATCCGCGCAACAATTATTAATTTTCGTGACTTTTCTACTTGTTTACATTTATAGCTCTTTCATGCCTCGAATCACGCAATCGTTTTCTATTTTCTTTTCCGTGACTCGTCTTTTTGTTTTGCGACTCTACCTTTGCACGAATTTTTCATTCTCGTGCGCGTGACTGATGGTACCGAAATACCATCAGGGCGCGGGAAAATCCGTGAGAAACGCGAACGAGTTCTTACGATCTTGTCAGCCACGAGGGCCGGGTTAACAATCGATCAGGAATACTACTCACTTTGTCGAGTCACCGTTGTTTGCTAGCCCCTCTATATGTTGCGAGCGCTCAAGAATTCAAGACCGTCCTAGTGATTACCTCATTCCCTCATGCACAGGTTTATTCGACGATCAGCGCGAATTTCGGAGCACGCCGTTGTTACGCACCAACGAACGAACCGTTCAAAGGACCGCCGCCGACTGCCGTTGCCCGTCTTCGTCACCGCGCCTTTACCGCCGTTGCCGCCGTCCCCGGATCCCCGTCGCCACCCCGCGGGTATTCCGAGGTTTTGCGGCAGAGGTCGTCGTTCGAGTCGCGGCAGCTTTCCGCCGATCGCCCCTTCTTTCCAATGCCATCGCGGACGACGTAAATTCCGGATAAATATCGACAAAACTGTAGAAATATTAGAATTTCAAGATACGACCCGAGAGTGAGTTCGCGAGAGCCCGAGATATCGCGAAATCGACGAGAATCTCTCGCGCGTTATAGCGTTCTATTTTTAGATTTTTTTTTTTTATAGACACCTCGTACTTCGCTCTCGATGTCGGAAGGAATAAAGTCTCTCGCTGTATATATTCCGAGAAACTTGTTGAAAAATTGTTGAACTCTAGGAGATGAACTTTCATGCTCACCTAAATTCGAATATCGCGTGACCCGCTAAAGCGAGGAGCCAGAAATGGTGACCGCATGCACACGCGTGTCTAACAATAAGCCTGGCCTACACCGTAAGACGCGGTAGATGATGAAATTCGGCGAGCCGATGTCACGACTACGACGCAGCTACGTCAGTTCACGCGTGCCATGCGTTATTCATTAATCGCGTGCGCAACGCATCGAGGAACGAGCACGTGGGCACGCGATTCCCGCTATCGCGTCTCGCGTGAGGTGTAATCGATGTGTGTTATAACACTATTATATACAGGCGTCTATCGAGAATGTGCGAGAAGTTTTCTCACGATAGCTTCGTTACATCTTGCTAATTTTTTATTTTCAAACAATGCATTCTCGAGTTTGTACTCGATATTGATGATATTATTTCGAAAAATTTTTTTATTCAATGAAGAATACTTTCTTTTATTGAACCTAATTTGCTAGGGAACTCTTGTGTGGGACCACGAAATGTTTTCGTTACAGTTTTGAGGTCAAGGGATAAACATCTTGTCTAACTATGCACTTCTACTGAATTTAATAGTCGTCTGAAGTATTAATTGGTCCTCATTTAGCGGAGCGATGGCGGGATCGCAATTTCATCCAATCGAACATTTGATCGTATAAATAATTGGCGTGGGTCGAGGGTCACGTAAAAGGCGAGAGACCACCGTGATCGCATGATGAAGACGGCCAAATAATTCATAAACCGGCGGTTTCGCGTGAAAATGTCAACTATCTGAAATTAAATATCCGGAACATTTTACGACGATAAAGAGCGACCACATGATACTATTTTCGCTGCCGCATCTAGAAGGCCGTGTACAAGTTGCAGTATCATTTTATTGCGCGCGTTTCACATTTTCAATGGAAAAAGAAAACAGTCTTATCGCTTACAAATGAGTAGGAAAATAACTTGTTTGCATATTGCAATATCTGAGAGTTTGGAAATCGTATAATTTGAGAGGATTTATAAGAAATTAAGAATGCGGGGATTCCATTTTTTCAAGAGGCATTCATAAACATTAACGCTAGAATTATTTCGATTTTATTAGATTCTTTTTGAATCCTTTTTTTTTTTTTTTGGAGTTGTCATATTTTTGTTTTTTGCAGTTAAAAAATTTCTTTCAGCTTAATAATTTTCACGTTCGAAAGAATAACGAAAGAAATATCGATACTATTCTGACAAGATATTTCATGATGCTATTGATTAAATTATCTCATTAATAAACTCGAGCTTTAAGAATGTAAACGTGACTTTAATATCTCTACTTTTAATTCTACTGACGCGTTGCATCATCTTAAGGTCATATATTGTTCCGTTCTACATATCGCATTATTTTATACCTGTGCAATAATAAATTATTAAGTAGAACGATGTATGTATATGTCGCTCAACTTGTTACGTTGTTTCTCTCTTTCATTCTTTTATCGATCACATTTGACTTGAACGAATAGACTTGAAACTTGAACTTTGACAAATAAAACAGTAACATTGCGCACGATCTATATATGATTAGGCAAAGCTGTCTCAGCAGTTGCTGATAACCTCTCGATAATGAATTTTTAAATTTAAAATCTCCTTGACGTGTTAAAAATATCTCCAAAGTAAAAACTTCCGTACTTGTATGGAGTTATCTGATTTTTTTCAGACTGATTAATTAACTTAATTTGCCAATTAATCAAAAATTCGTCGTATGTGTCACAGTCAATCAATAATCTATCACGTGCAGCAAGAATAAATCCGATCATGTAAATTAATTTGCGAATTAATGAAAAATTCGTCGTATCTGTCACAGTCAATCAATAATCTATCACGTGCAGCAAGAATAACTCCGATCATGTAGAATCATCTATCGGGAAAAAAATTTCATCGCAATCATGTCAGCTAAACGCACAAAATTGCCGTTGTACGGCAGCCGCGAAGAAGCTCCTCCGGAAGAGTGCAGGGAACACTACCTGTTCTTGTTGGAGCTGTTCGTGAAGCAGGCGTCGGGCGACCGCCTGGCCAAATTGAATAAGATGTTCTTCGTGCCAACGAGCGTTCATTTTGGATTTCTCGATTTTGTAGACGAGGATGATCTGACCGTGACTCCGGTGGATCTTCTCTTTCAACCGCAGGCGGGCGTCGCTAACGACGTCGAGGTCTTCAACGCCGGAAAGTCGGTGCTGTTCGCCATCGATCACGAGGCGGTGACAGATCGCACCGTAAAAATGATTCTAAAGATCACCGCGAAGAAAAAGATGCCGGACAGCATCAAGCCGGACATCCTGGTTGGCGTCGGCGAGCTAGATTTGTCCGGTCAGTACGCAGCTTTGAGACTAGAGATGCTGCAGTGCTGGAGAAAGGGTGTCACGACATCCAAGGTATTTGACGGTCAAATACCGTTGATTCACAATGAGAACTTATCGAGCAATCTGGACATCTTTGTGAGAATATCCGGCTTCGGGCAGACGATTGTTACGGAATTTGACGGACCGATCGCGCAGGATTCCTCGACGTTTATCTTTGGCTCTGGAGAGCTTGATCAAGTTTTATCGTACAAATGTCGCAAAATGGATTCTCGCACGATTGATCTCTTCGAGGATTCTAGCGAGGATCTTCCGACAACTTGTCCCGTTTGCGAACCGGAAAGGTATCCTTGTGTGCCGTGTGGGAAACTGGCGGCTGTCGAAGAGAGGGACAAAGGAGACGCCGGGATGGCAAGAAAAAAAGATACGGTACGTGTTAAAAAAAAAGGTGTAACTTTTCGATCAACCATCTAAGAATCTCGGATCTCACTTTCAGTCGTCAAAAAGTCTTCTCCAATCTAATTGCGGTCTGACTCAGCCTTGCGGCAAACCAGTGGTTCTCAAAGTATCTGGTCTCTTTGACAACGGCGACATCGGTGGGATCAAACCTACAGTAACAGTTGCTTCGGAGCCAGGCGAATCGTCCGATCCTGACCATGACATTTTTGTCCTAAGGATCGGCAAGAAAGGCCTCGTTGGCGTCGGCGAGAAGTCTGATATACAGTTGGAGATGAAAACCCCGAAAGGATCGGAAAGAAGGCCCCCGATCAGATACGAGACTAGAGATATGCAGACGGAGAGATCCGAAGAAGAGACACCAAAGGATAAAAAAAAGAAAAAGAAGAATAAATAATCATGAATGCGCGTCAAGATCGAGAATCGAATTCTGATAAATTCTGTATTTATTTGAAAGGATTTATTTCGCGGTGATATTTTTCTTATTGTCGTTTGTGATCACACAACTTCTGATATAACACTGTATTTGTCACATAAATATAAATTTAAATTTAATTGCATTTTTAAGTTTCTTATACTATAAATTTCGCATTGTTAAATAATATAAAATAAATATTACTCGTAATATCTTTCTAAAATGTCTCAGATAGTTAAGTTTGTCGAAAGCAGATCATGTCAAGTGTTTGTTATCAACTGTTGTCAGTAAAAAGGCTACAAATTTGGTATAAAAATTGCTATTATGGATTAAATCGTCAAATTGGTGCCAAAAATCGAGCAGAGCCTGCTCAGAATCTGATGACAAATTGGCAGCAGAAACCGAGTCTGCAACTTATTATAAAATATTACAAAATTAACTATTATTTAAAATAGAATAGTTCATTCGCTTACCGTTGCAGCGCACTATTCACTAATATATATATATTATTGGTGATCCAAGAATTTGCAACATCGCAGGGAGAGTTTTTTAGCAATCAGATGTAATGTGATTTTTCCAGACCAAATTAGCTGTTTTACGATGTTGCACATTCCTGGATCATCAATAATTTCTCTGCCGCAATAATCATGCTGTGATAATATAGTATAAATATATCTTATAGTATAAATATATCTTATTAAATAATTCGAGCATTCGAAATCAAAAGATCGATATCAAAAGATAAGTACTCCATAACTGAATGATTCGTGAAAGAAGCTGAGTGATGAAAAACATAGTGAGAATTTTTACTATCTATATAAAACATATTACATATATACATGTAGCTAACGATAAATGAATCATCCTATATAATAAGATATCGTTTCAATCGATAAGTTTGTATGTACATAATTGTCAATGTAAAAATTTTTTTATTATTTATAACAATCTAAATTGATTAAAGTAATATAAGCAAGAAATAATATAAAATAAAAATATAGAATGTGATTTATGATAAAAATTATTAATTTTTATTTCATTCTCTAGAGACAAAACAGATAAAATAAATAGATTGATAAAGTTGATAAATATGACAAGACATTAACCTGAATATTTTTTTAAACTATATATAAATATATAAGATGGAAAACGTAATGAAAGGGGAACAGCTATTCTTGATGGAGTTTTTAGTGGAGAAAGTCAATATTCCCGCAATACGGGCGATACACGAAGAGATCTTGCCGGCCAGAACATGCATCTCGTTTCAAGTATAAAAAAAAAGTTTCTATGTTTAAATCTCTCGATTCCTGTTTATTAACTTGTTGATATTACTATAACAATTATCACACATAGATACTGAATCTGCCCCCTCTCAATATTTATCAAGAATCACCAACGGAAGCCTGCGCCTGTATCGAAGATGGACCGCAAGTCTTTAATAAGGGCAAATCCTGTCTATTCGCTCTTACAAACGTTGTTTTGCAGAAACCATTGTACAGTTTTCCCATAACAATGTCCGTTTACAAGGAATTGCCGCCAGGAGTCTTGCCGGACGTGATGTTAATCGGTTCTTATAATTTTTACTTTTACTCTTATTTCTCTGTTCAATATTATTGTTAGATATTTTAATCTTGTAATCATATCATACTTTCACCCGAACGTTATAGAGATACCTTTTTTGACATATAGGCACTCATCAGATTCAAGCTCACGATCTTATAAACGCGGTATTGAGCCAACAGATCTTCCAGATCGGCAGCGCCTGCAGAATGCTCAAGAATACTTTTAAAATTACCACGGCCACAGGACAATGCGTGGGCAAGGTCACGGTTTTCATTCGTGTCTCGTGCTTCGGCAGGAAGATCGTCACGCAATTTCAAATTCCCCACAATAGGAAACCTTATCTCTTCAAGAGCGTTGACGACGGTCCTGTATTTCAATGCAAGAGGATCACTTCCGCTTCGGACAGAGAACGGATGAAGTGTGCGTGTCCTTCGAAAAAGAACGGTGACGGCAGCGGAGAGGCTGCGAAAATCTGTTGTCCCGATGAACGTCAGCGAAAGGAACGGACGGAGGATATCGAGAGGGTCAAGTGTTTACCGTGTTATCGCAGTACGCGACAAGTACGAGACAGAAGCAAGGAAGCTATTGTCAGGAAGTGTGGCTGCATCGTCAAGGAAGAACGAACATGTAGCTGTGTCCGAACAAACGTCAGACGCTTGAAATGAATAGGAATTGCTTGCGGAATGTTTTTTTTTTCAGAGATCAACAGGCTAAAGACATATTCGAGCGAATGGCTATCGATCCTGTGACCGTTGTCTCGATTCTCGACCAGCATCCGCGCGCGCTCCTGCGTATTTAGATCTCCGTTTATTCCTGTCCGGCGTCGCGGGGAAAGCGTCGTGATGGCGTGATGCCAGGGGGATGCGACCACGAGAGGAAGGGAAGCCCGGGTCGACGACACCGGGTTGCCGCCGCTCTCATCCCCGCCAACCCCTTATCTATCACCGCCGCGGGGTGCTAGGCCGATATTGTCGCGTCTGCGCGATGAACAACAGTTGGGAGACAGTCTGACCGGACGGCTTCGCGACAGAGACGTGCCGCCACGGCGTCGTGCGGCGTCGGGGGACGCGCGTTAACCCCTCGCCAAACTCGTAAAAACACCTGACCGAGGTGTTGACAGCACCCCGGCGACAACAATCGACTCCTGGCCACGAAAGTCCTCCGTGCACGATCATGAATAGCTCGCCGCAGAACACCAACAGCACCGGCGGGCAGCGGCGGACGACCGGTATTGACAACAGCGACGAGGAGGAATGGAGCGGCGTCGTCGAATGTGTAATTACTCTCTCCAGCCGCTTCTCTCTCACCCTGCGTTATTCGCGTTGAGGAATTATTCCATCACGCGAATATTTATTTCTGATTTTTAAATTGTTATCTGCAAATTCTTCCGTTTTGCCGTTTTTTTTAAATCGGAAATCGTGTAAAACAGATATCTTCCTTTTTTTTCTCTTTATCAAATACAATATTGTATGGCCGCATAAAGTAGCTTCAGTTAATGTTACGATCCAGCGATAAGCATTTTTTTTTCCTCAGGCTGTCCTTGAAAGAAGCAAATCCGAGAGAGCCGTACGCGCTGATGAAGATAGACGTCGACGGACGATTATCGTTGAGAAGAAGAATGGCACGTACGGTTTCACATTACAGGTAATACACTTATATATGTATATATTACCGCATCATATACAATAAACGTGATATCTCAATCTCTCTAATGCTATTACGCAACGCTATTATGCTCATTCTATTAAAATTCACAAAACTTAAAGATTGTAATGAACAAGTTAAACATGTTTTATTTACGAGTATGTTGGCTATTTCAATCACTAGTAATTTAATCTCGACTAATTCAATAGAGCTACGGAATACATTATAAGAGGGAGCAGGAGATAGAAATGGTTACGTACGTGGACTATGTGGAATACGATGGACCAGCGTTCAAAGCTGGTATGCGAGAGGGTGACGTAATACTGTCTATAAACGGTCACGAGATGGACAGAGCCGATCACAAGACTCTTGTGAATTTTATCAAGAACTGTGATACCAGAATGCGGATGGTGGTGTCCTTCGAAGACTGCGTTAGAAAGGTAAAATGAGATTTGATTCTCTTATATATTTATGACATTTTTACGATCTTGAAATTTTAATCGAATATTAACGTAATTTTTTCTTCTACTCTAATAGCAATGCGTGCAAATTTTGCTACATCAGTCGTTGAAAATATACATGATATTTTAGGTGGAATTACATATGCGTTACATCGAGTTGCAACGCGCCCTCCAGTCTCGTCTGGGTGAATTGGAGAGACTGTGCGAGAGAGAACGGTCTATTCTAATGGGCCGATGGAAGACCCATTCACTGCCAGCGCGCAAGAGAACGCCTAACAGCATCGCCGGCACTAACCCTAATCAGCCGTCGCCCTCTTCTAGTTTCAATTCTTCTACCATTCAGTGCTGCCGGCCAGCAACCTCTACCGAACACCTTCTACTCTATAATGTGGTAACTGTTATTTACATTTTGAGAATAGAAATTTAAAAAAAGAGAAAATCAGCGCTATAGAGCACCTAAACTTTCTAAAATTACAAGCGCATCTCTATATTTGCAATTTAAACAACTTTAACACAAATATATCTTTTAGTTTGCGGATGGACGACCCTATCTCATACCACGTAGCGCCGCTTGTCTCGTGACAGTCGGACCGCCTCGTTCTCGTAGCGATCATCATCACTTCCTGTCTAAGATGTCGAGCGAATCTGCGATGGCCGTAAGCTCTTCGCGTCACAGTTATCACCAGGCTAACGGTATGACGGGTACACCCGCGAAGAGCAAATCTCATAAACAGACCTGTCAGCAGCAATCATCCGTTGCTGTCGAAGGACCGTCGTTGCATTCGGTTCCTCAAAACAATCTCTGCGTCGCTTGTATCTCCAGCGCGAATCGTCGCCGAGAGCAGTCCGATAGCGGTAGTCTAGATGCTTACGATCTTGCCAGTCCCTGCTGTGATCCAAATTGCGTACCTAGTCGTCGGCGTCGCGAGAAACAACGACGCGCCCGCAACGAGCAAGCTCTTCATCAGCAGCAACAGCAGCAGCAGCAGCAACAACAGCAGCAGCAGCAGGCTAGCATACAGCATCATCACGTTCAAGGACAACGAGACCAACAACAACAACAGCAGCCTAACGCTCACAATTGCCCCCGCACGTCCGGTCACAGTCTTCATTCCATTACTAGTAGTGACGTCTCGACAACAGCCGACAGCGTCGCCTCCTGCTCCACCAGTCTCAGCACCGACACCCTATACTGGGATCCGAGCGTGCACCAGCGACCACCGCCGTGCCTTCAATACGCTAAGCCCAAGTCCTGGGACAATCTGACCACCAAAGCTTTCGGGGGCTATGGCTTCGGTTATGGTTACTTGGACACCGTGACTATCAAGACCCATAGTGCGGAACGTCCCGGTAAAGGGTCGCATAGCGGTGGCAGCAGATCAAAGACGCCGATCGGCATCGTGCAGCGGAAGTCTAGTGGTACCAGCGGCAGTACCGTGTATTCGACAGCCACGAGTTCGACAATCACGAGTCGACACTTTCAGCCGACCAAGTCAACGGAAAGTTTATTGATCGCGCCGGGACCATACCAGGGCGATCTCGATCAGGCCAGTTTGAGCTGCGAATGCCTGGATAGCGGTGGCGGCGCCGGCGGATCTAGCTCGCGCTTCATTCAGTTAGATAAGCACAAACGCGGCGACGACGCGGCGGGATACATCCCGCCAACCCACGCGCAAGTTAGACATCGACGGTCTAGTCATTCCGATGGAAAACTACGGGCTATCAATAACTCCGAAGTTACGCGATTGTAATATCTCCCCTAAATACATTATCAAGATAAAAATAAAGCACGAACGTAAATGTTGCATTTTATTTGGCTAGCCGATAAAATAAAATCAAGATAATGATTGAATCGCTAACATATATTGCCAGGGACGTCTTTGAAACTAAATGAAAATCTAAGTAATTTGTATCTCTAAATCTCACACCTCTTCAGTCTCTCGTTCCAATATTCCTAAATCTTTAGATCAAAGTTACAAACATCTGACGCCATCTCTGTCTTTCCTTTATTATATGTTGCCGTACAGATCACCGAGACCTTTGTTGTATGTTTTCAATCAGACTCTATATTACCTACTGTCAGTTAGTCTGTATGCATATTAGATTTTCCTGACAAATTGCATTTTCCATTAAAAAGATTATTAAAGTCGCGAGATCACTTGAAATATAATTGTTGGTAGCATAATATTTATCTATGTAACAAAATAAATATTATTTCTAAATCAATTTGGCAATATCTCGAACGTAATAAAAACTAAAAGAAGTTTCTGTTCAATAAATACTGTTATTTTCAACATACTGGTTTATAGTCAAACATTCTATAACTTAATATATTTTTAACTCAGAATAACTAACAATGCACGCTCTTAAACACACTTTGGCCATTTCGTTCATATACAGATATTACAAAGAGTACAATTTCTCTTTGATTACACCCACATATCCTCTGTCTATATACATATATACGTACATACGTACACACATGAATGCACTTGCGTGCGCATACGTAGACTGTATTCACAATCGATTCGTACGATCTCGCCCTGCATGGCTGTGTCTGTGTTGTATGTGTGTGTGTGTGTGTGTATTTACCTACATAACACACGTGCCACTTTACGGTATGTAATAAATATATACATAACTCTCTCTCTGTACTTACGCGCCAGGACCTTCCCACGTCCACGTTACCGTGTCTAATTTATTAGGATATCTGATGCACACTGGCTGCACCGGCACACCGGGATAGAAGGCACCCGATTTGAAGGTAATCAAGCACGACCGGTTTGTACATGTTCCCTCAGGAAATATCATAACCTGCGGAAGATGGTCGGTCAGTTGCACCTAGATGCGAAGGTAGTGATTTACGCTACCTTGATTGCAAACTTGCGTGCATCTCTCACCCATGAATTATTCAGAATATTATAGAAGATCTTTACAACCGTCTCTACAAACTCTCACGATAGTATAATATTTTTTTTTACCTGTGGCCAATCCTCCTTGGAAGTAGTTCTCTCGATTATTTCCTTGATAGTATTCTGACGGGAATTTGGATCTTCCCTCCACACGTAGACCGGCTGCGTATAGTTGATGAGTTCTGTATGCGCCAAACATCGAAAGGCATAACGCAAATAAAATCGATTTTTCAAATACCAGTTATGATAATTATGATTTGGACTTTGCGTGACTCTATTCGATCAAACCAATTATTATTAGTTTTGTAGCGCAAGTAATTAATCTCGGAATGAAATAAGAAAATCTTACGAACGAATTATCATGATTTGTTATTGAAAGTGGACTGGAAATTAATTGCGACATTTTTGCACAGCAAATTATTTTGGAAATGATAAGCCTGTTGATTATTGTTTCATTAAATTGCAATAGAATATTAACTAAGTAACGTTCTTGCAAGAGCACATTTGCTCTACAATAATTTGTCGTATAAAATGGTGAATGGGATTCATATATTAAAGATATTATATATATAATATCCCCTATTACACACTGTGACCACTCCTTTGTTGGAAAAGAAATTAATATTTGGCTGACTTTAACAAAGCACAACATCGATGTCGATGAACAATGTAAATGAAGCGCGTTCAATCGTCATTGCTATCCGCATGAATTATCCATAATAATTATCTATGAGATTATCTTTTTTGTTATACGATCTTACAATGTCGCTACAGACCATTTTTGCATTGACTAACAATGCCGATAATGTCTGAAATTATTTCCGTTTAATACGACCTCGCATAGACCACAGCATATTGAGATTTTAGGTCAAGACTTTCTCCTAAGAGCACAAGCTGACGTCATTATTTTTTAGTTGGCTCATATCCTATCACACACAAGTATTCAAAATCGTATAGTGTGAATATCTTTTAATTATCTCTCGAAGTAATTAAAATAAAGTAATTTTTAATAAATGTATATTTGCAAAAAACAATATAAAAGAATATAAGATAATAAAAAGTATATAAAAGAGTTATAAAAAGATAATATTAAAAGAAAATAAGAGATAATAGATCTATTAAAAAAATAATAAAGGATTAAAAAAAATAAAACAAACAAAAATATAGCACCTACTTCCTATAAATGGATTTAATCCCGATTCTCGTCTGACGATGATGGAGGGAAATCCGGTGACGTAAACGATGCCGCCGTCGATGAAGGTCGAGTGCGGCGCGAGGACGAGAATCGGTGCTTCCGATCTGGAAGCCTGTTTCCCTCGGACCACGATTTTCATTCCGCCGGCTTGGTAAGTAAGTCGACCCACGAAACATATCCATGGCACTAATTTGCTGTTGGGTTTCAACCGACAAAGTACATGCAATGGAATTACTCGAAAATACTTGGAGTGTTTAATTTATTGGAGCAACATATCGATGCGTCGACAGTGTCGCGAAAAGAACGCGGAGTTCCGAGAGCTCCGGTATACCCGAGTCAACTTGATACTACGAAAGAGAGAAACGCGCTATGAACAGGTATATCCGATGCACTTTCTATACGTTTCTGTGATAGAAAGAAAAAGAATGAAAAGAGATGGTGAAAGCGTTCGGATTAGTAACTCAAATTTTGACCATCGAGAAATGTTAATTGCAAACTTTAAATTATGCACATATACACGTATCGAGACGCAGTTTTTACACTTTTCTTTTGGCTCTCTGAGATGCGTATATCGGTGTCCCATTTCTTTTCACAAATATTAATGAGGCCGAAAGATATATATATATATTTTGATCTATATATTTTTTAATAACATTGCGCACGAGCAAAATTGATAAATAGAGACATTGAATAATACACATCAAAGAATTTATAACCAATGCTGTTATTTAATCCTTTAACTGAGTTTAAATACAGTTTAATTTGTTTGTCAAAGGATAAAATAAAGTGAAACGCGCAATTTATAAAAGCCAAGTTATCAACAATTATTAAAAATATTAGTTAATTGCCGAAGAATAAATCCCATTCACCATATATGCATATATGAATATTATGTACAATAAAAAAATTAATGAATAGAGCAAAACATTGCAATTTTCTGATATCAGATTAAAATCTTTAATTTCTACAAGAGAGAGATCGCAAATATAAATCTAAATTTAAAAAACCATCTATCTAAAGATATTTATACTATCGATTCAATTCAATCTTAAGATTATTTTAAGATGTATATAGATTTCATTAAAAATCTCCCTCGGCCAAAAATATAGCGACCTCTCCCTTATATCGGTCAATTTGGTTCGTCAACGGACGACAATGCGATGATGGGCGACCTACTTCCGAAGAAAGGGAGGCGGCTACTCTCCCCTTTGGCAACGATGCTCGGCCCGCCGAGGTACACGACCGGAAGTGCATCGAAGAAGCTGGAATGCGGGGCGAGAGCCAGTACCGGCGCGTCCTTAGTCTCCGCTTTCCGGCCCTTGACCTTCAGATGATGAAATCCACCGCAGAGAAATAACGCCCGCATCATCCAGCAGATCACGACGCGCATGTCTCTGTTTTTAAGTAGTTTAATTTGCAGTACGCATGCACACCATCCGAGATGCAACTCACTACTTTTACTCTCAGGAAGGAAGTCTAAAATGATTAGCGGGATTCACAAACGATCTTTGGAATTCGATCTTTACGAGAGATACAATTTTGATAAATGTTATATTTTTATCTCACAGAGATCATTAGATTTAGAAAAAATTGTGAATTTCTAGAAAATACTTGGAAATTATGAGACTATTAAAAAACTTGTCAGTTTTTTACGCTTTCGCAAATGCATATTCGCACGAAAAGCATTATATTATTTTTAATTTAAACGATAGCTGATTTCTTATAATACTATATTAATTACATAAATTCGAACAAGTATATTCACTTCATAAAAAAATTTGCAAGGCTATTTTATATAATGTGCTCTAACCAGTATCTAGTTAAAGATATCTTACAATAAGAGTTATTTCTTTAAGCTAAACTTGTGTCATAACTTCTCACTGTAATACAAAGTTATTTTATAGACTCCCCGCGTGTGGCAAGACCTTGACAGTAACGCATGACTAAATTATGAAAGAAATATAAATAGATGGTGTTATAACTTTACCGCCAACTAACCACCTTTATCTAACTCTTTTTTTGTCTCTACATTAATTTACAAAATAATATTTTTATTTAATAATATCACTTGAATAATATATAATTTTATTTACAAATTTAAAGCCCTGAGAATAATTGATGTTAAAATTATAAAATCAGGAAATATATTAGTTTCTCGCGGACAAATTCCGAGATTATTGATTATCTGTCATAAGATGTTAAATAAGTCACTAATAAATTATTAATAAAAAGACAAAGACACTAAACGGAGGTGTTTCGTTGTGTACGGAAACGTTTAGTGAAACCAGAATCATAAGCAATAATCTTGTTACAATCAAAGATCTAATCTTGTATGAGAACGTGTATTATTAACGCTTTTTTTCTTTCTTTGATTAATCGAAAGTCATTAATTGATCTCGTTGGCTTGAGATGAAATCTTCACATATCGCCTTTAATTTAAATCTTAATTCAATATCAAAAATTGTTAAATACGTCTCTAAGAAATTGTAAACAATTATTAAAAAATCAAAAACTGAGTTCTAGGTCTAAGGATCTCTGAGAACGCATATCCAAAGATCTAAATGATGCGAATTTAATCTGTTAGCAAAGCGAGGTGATATATTATACCACCACAGAAAAAAGCTTAAGAAGCAATCCCAAAGGGTTAATGTCAATGTGAATAGCATGATAGATAGAAATAGACTCGTAAGATAAGGAATGACCGTTTCCTCTCGGTGAGATTATCACACCGGTAGATACTGCTTAAACATACCGCCTCCAGCCCGTAAGAGGAGCTCGCCGAAGATCATCCTCGGACAATCCATGCAGACCTAAACAAGCCAACAGCCACGCAAGTATCATCAAAGTCGTGATGGCGGCTAGTCTGACTGGCAAGAGGGCGATTGTCAGGAATATCGTCTGAAACAATAAATATTCCTATGTCAATTTTTTCGGATATTAATTTTTGATTAAATCTAACATATTACATCTTAATTTTCTTATCACACACATAATATGTAAATTAAAAAGTCAAATGAATAGTGGCTTGATTCACGATCTGTAGATCAGATCTGTCATAAATAGTCCAATGACAGATGTAAATTATATGATCTAATTATGTTATCTAAATGTTAACGCTTGAAATATAAATTGAAGAAATTTACACTTAGAATATTATTAAAAATTTCTTAAATTGACGCTTATGTTCTTTTCTCGCTGTATTGCAGGATCACGTTATAAAAATGGGATAAGCAGATAAGTAAGTAAGTATGTAATTGGATCGGACCAACTCGTCGCTTGTCACGCGGTCAAGGTTACAATACGTTCATCAGTGGCTTCAACTTCTCGTCTGTTAAAAGGAAAGAGAAAGAAAGAATGAAAAGCAGGAAAGAGGTGGTACGCGAGTACCGTCCGTTATGTTTCACTGTTCCGTTAGCCGCACACATCAGTTGTGATCAGCCGCTCATTCCCTCTCGCTTCATCTTGTTCAAGAAATGAATGCATGAGACACAGCTAAATATGTGATATACGAAGGCAAGTCAAATATCTATGCCACGAATAACTTTATCAATTAAATCTATGTTCCGTTATAGAATTAATATTATTGTTGACTCATATATCATATAAACACAAATGTGATAGTTATGACATAATTTTTCTATAAACGAGAGTGAACGTAAAGCAAGAACTAAGACAAAGATTAAAATATAGAAGCTAAAGATAAATTTCACATAAATATTAAAACAATGTTTCAGGACAAGATTTTAAACAAAAATCAATGATAACTAATTCGAGTTACGTCGATAATCGATCGAATAAATCATGTACGATATCGAAGGACTCTCTCACAAATCACAATTTCATAATAAGGTAGAGAAAGTTATATATTAACATATATTAACATAGAACACAAAGAATATAATACATTATAAAAAAAAAAGATTATATATAAAGTATAAAATAGACTAAAGATATATATAATATGTAAAAGATAGGATACTTTGTTTATTCTGAAATTTGAAAAAGTTACCTTAAAGTATATTAAGATAGAATAATCGAAAGTAAAAACATGATATTGCACATTCTATGTCAAATCACGTATCAAAATGAATTTCATAAAATATCTCGTAAACCATTAACTTTTTAATAATTCTGTTTCAATATTTTTATATTTATAATGACTAAGGGAATTTATAAATACAAGGAAAATGATATAGTTCCATTAAAAAATGAAGATAATTTTATATTTCGTCTTCGCCTGAAACAAAAGTGTCTGCAGGATGTCCCTCTCAAAACCTCACAACATTTATCCAAAACTTTCTTTTTGATAATATTTTAGATTTTCAGATGTTTCACTGAGACATTTAAAATAGGAAATTCTAGATGTATATATAATTTAATTTTTTATTTAATCGTCAATTTTCTTTTTACGATGTTGTATTCATTTCTAATTTGATCCCGTTGACATAAATCGCCCCGTTCTTAATTCACTCGCATCGTCTAGAATGTAGGCTTTCTACGCGTTCAGACTTCACCGATGTTTTAACAAGAGAAAGCATCGGTCCACAGAAGAGCGCTACTTGCGTCGTATTAATGTTTAGAAAAGTATAGGCCACGATTTTAATGCCTCGAAAATATATAACGGCAAAAAAGTCGTTAGTCTCGCTGCTATTTACAAGAACTGAACTGCGGAAATGACTTCAACGAGTGCGAAGGCTATTTTCCATTTTCTTGCCAAGCAATCTAGATCGCGATAGAAATGTGTTTTTAGATCCTTAGATTTTTTTCAATTTACATGTACATGTTGTACTAATCAAATAATTGAGATCTTGCGAATTCTGGTACACGATTCACATACATGGTTGTCATATCCTGATATCAAACAATTGTAACTTAATTAACGTTGAGAAATTTTTAAATGTTCAACTTAATATTGATATTCTGAATTAATATAATATGTTCGTATATATATTCGATATATATATATATATATATATAATTATATTTATGTTAATTGATATTTATTTTTTTTTTTGAAAAATTTATATGTATATATATATCAAACTTTCCAAATGACATTTTTGCCTAGATTCTGGAGAAGCATCTACTAGTGAACGTACTGATCACTTACGTGACCTTGTTCGCGGTTAACATTTATGTCGAGTTCGCGTTGAAGCCCGAAGTCCGAGAATGTGCCAAAGAAAAGTGGGGCGGAAATTGCATACAAACAATATGCTTATGTCAACATGCTCATCGTCGCGACCACGACCGTGGAATATCTCGAAAAATTAGATGACTTAACTCTTGTCCGGAGAAAGGATTAGGATACATTAATCGTAATTGCAGAAAATTGACCGCGTGGCGATTGACTACTACCTGACCGATTCCTGGCCACGGCGTGAAAGTAACCACGACCAACTTGCGGAAAAACCGGCCTGTGTAAGTACGATATCTCCTCGACCATCTTGCGAATATTTTTACAAGTATTTCCATGTTCTTATTTCGACACATTCTGAGACTCGCAAAACAATCTTATATAACTGTGATATTATGTTGTTATATGTATCTCATATGTATTATACACACAGATTCGACTGTACGTGCATACGTGCTGTTTTGTAATGTTGTACTTGAAATGTAAATAAAATATTCGAATCTTTGAAAAATAAACCCCTCGATTTCTTTTCCGCGAGATGACCATTCTCGTAATAAATTTCAAACTTATTACGTAATTTTCAAGAGCCCAAATCGCATCCCCTAAATTATTTGCACACAATTCCGATCGAATTATTATCGCAACACTTTAATCGGTTCTCCAGAGCTCTATCGGGACACGATTAAAAATCTGCAAAAAGTTTAACGCTAAACTGCGAAGTAGTTATCCAACACACACACACACACACACACACACACATCCTCACACACACGCGCACTTCCTTGGCATCTCGATCGAAGCACACCCCGCCTCGGTGGCGACGGTGGCGGCGGCATCCCTCTAAAACTCGCCCGCACGAGCATCGATCCCGGGGAAGAAGCTGCTTCCGAGAGATACTGACCTTGAGCTTGTCGTAGGTCGAGCCAAGTTCGAGCCGATGCACGAAGGGGTTGAGTATGTCCGCGCCGAGCGACGCGGCGTCGGCTTCGTCGGCATCCGGTCGCTCGTTCCTCGCGTCACCGTTCATCCCGCGGAACGCAAGGGAAAAGTAAACTCTCCAACGATGCCCGTCTCCCGAGAACGGAGAGTCTGCGGAAATGTTCCTCGACGATCGTCCTTCTCGTTCAAGAGAGACAGAGAGAAAGGGGGAAAACGCGACTGGAAATGCGTGAAATTAAATAAACACGGGACTCAAACGCGAAGGCAAACCACATTGATGTAAATCGGAGCGAGCGCTCACACCCTTCCGGAAGGGTTAACGGTCGACGTTGGACTGACGCTATCCGGACACGCGCCACCGCGAGCGCGAGCGGCTCCCGCACCTCCTCCTGCGAGCGGACAGGCAAGCGAGCGCCGCCATCGGAGTCGAGTGATGCCGACGACCTGGTTTACGCTCGCTCGATGTTACACCACGATTCATCCGCTCTGATAATAAGAGTTCTCATTTCTATTCAAACAATATGCAAAACTATTGTTCTTTTTTTTTTTCGATAGTGTCTCTCATTGCGAGCTATCGCGTTCATCGCGTAATAATCTGACTTTTCCCAGCTAATAAACGCATATTTGATTCTTCTCTTCGGTTATCATATCCACAGACTTTTATACTATATATTTTCATACCATTTATTGACGCTTTAAATCCCGTTGTATTCACATAAATACGAAATTTTCTGCGAATTATTTTTCTTCACATATAACGCCTCCCCAGAAATTTGCGATTAAATTCTTTTCTGCTGAGAAAGCTTTTCCGCGGCGATATTATGGCGGATATGTGTAATGGTATCAATTATCACATGTATACAATATATATATACACTTTTGCATAGTCGCGCATGCCCAAAATTATGTATCGATTAATAATTACTATTACTATTTAAGTAATTGTTATTGTCCAAAAATAAAAGCTATATAAATTTTTGATATGTTCCTTTATAATATATATAGGCATACTGTCACCGTTTTTGCGACTTTGTATCAGGTATCGATTTTATCTTTACAAGTATCTATCCTATCCTATGCAAGTATCGTGTTTTCGTCACTGCCAGTCGTTATTGAAGAAATGCCGACAAATATCTCATACTTATCAAATGTTATCTCAAGCACTATTTAAAAATAATAATCGCTTTTTATTAATTGTTACTTATCTGAAAACGATTCAGATTTGTTATAGAAAGATCATTTTTTTACCTACTTTATATAATAATTTTATAATTGATAAAATTACAATCGGACCACACTATTAATTATGAAAAAAAAAATGATATAAAATAATATTTAATATATATGTGTAAACCTATATAAGAGATAGGATAAGAGGATCAGGAGAGATTCGACAATAAATTCTCACCCGAAATTGCCGTTTGTCAACTATTTTCTGACGATTTTCTGTGCGTTTACGTCAGGAACACTTTATTTTACATATTTACACCTGTTTCGAGATTGCATTTTCCGCGTTGGTCTATCCTTCTCCTTTTCTCTCTGTCACGCATACATGTTACACGCACGCACGCACGCACTTACATTTTTTCGCGTTCTTTCTTGAATCGGATCAAAATTCCATAAATTAAAAAGAACATCATCGACTATCTATTTAATTAAACGTGTTTAATTAATCGAACATCTCCGAAAACGGAATAACAATTTGTTCCTCTCGACCGATCTATCGAAATATCCTTTAACCAGTAGTCCCAAGCTCTTTTTACGCTGCTCGTTGTTTCTTTTATTTTCATTAACATGTACTATCGCATATTGTGCATAAAAAATCAAGAAAGATAAGAATTCTTGTCCTATTAAAATCCTTAAAATAACACTTCGCTTATTATCTTCGACGTTTCGAGAACCTTGATTTTAATGAATACAAATACCTGTTAAAACACACATACGTATACACACGTACACACACACACACACACACACACACACACTTCCTCTCTCTTTTTTCTCTTGATATATAGAATATCCTTAAATTGCACCTCTCTCTATTACGTATGTGGGAATTTATGGACATCCTACAGTTCCGTTCAATTTTTGCTACGGATTTTGATATCTTACGTCATTACTAGTAATTTTGTTGGAGGTATTTGCCTCTGACGCAAGAAGATTGTATTCGATTTACCGGTTAAAGGGTTGCAATAAAAACTTCGTCCACTACTACGTTCACGAATAATTAATTGAGATCATAAAAATAACGAAGCTTAGATTACATTGATGTCCTTCTCTATGTGATGTGTGAATATACGTATTGTAGACACGGATGCTTCGATCCTTGGATCTTCAATTGCTGAATATTTTATTGTATAAATGCTTAAAAATCTTTAAATATATAACAGCATTTTTTGTGATCTTGTGTATATATTTTAGGATTTAAAAAAATTATATAGTTCTAAAGATTTTGCGTGAGGATTAAACGTTCGAGGATTTAAAGATTAAAATACGATCGCGAATAGAAAATTAAGAATTTCATTTCAGGTCAATAATACTACCAAAAAATATTCTACGTAAAAATTTAAGAATCTAAAAAATTAAAAGTAAGTTTCTCTTTGGGCGAAGAATCCAAGAATATAAGCATTCAATATTCAGATTATTGGATCCTTGAATTCTTATATCCTAATATATATGTATTATATGTAAATATGTTGTGTGTTTATATATGTATTAGGATGTCTTTTACTTGCCTACCAATCATATAACAAATATGTATGTGTACTCTCTTTTAGCTTTTTCTTTCTGTTATGTGACATAAATTTGAGACATTATTCTGTATTCCTTTAATTATTTATGTATGTTGACGACAGTTTAATGTTAATCTTAAACATACAAATCACTGAACAAAGCACAATTAAGGGACATCCTAATACCTGTGTGTTTTTGTGTATATGTAAATATATATATTTTTGGAAGTGGAATGTTCGCGTATTATTGAGGTATATCTACGTTCAAGCGTTCGAATATTGTCCGTTCCTCGAGAAGCTATAGAAAATACGCTCCATAGCCGGGAGCCAGTTGCCGTTTCTGAATTTTACTAAACGCATGTATATTCAGATCGCACCACCCTTCGAGAATACAAATATCTTGAGCGAATAGTACTTTTTCTCTCTTTCTCTTTCTCTTTATTATTTACCTTCTCTTATCTTTCTCTTCTCAGCATATCTCGAAGAGTTGTGTTTTCTGCAATCGTTGTTCCGAAATGTGCAAATCCAAAATGAGATAAACAGTCCTAAACGTCACTGAAGCAAAAATAAAATTAAACAAATCAAACATGAAAAATGAAAGATTGTTAGCAATTAAAAATAAGAATTAATTAAGAGAGATATTATGGCCATTTATATTATCAAAATGTTCCCTTATCTTTGGATATTTCATGATATTTTTTTAAATTGTTGGTTCGTTACTTATATCATTCATCGTTTTCGATAGTTCAAAGCTATATTATTGGGTCGTGCATTACTTCAGCGACGTCACGGACAGAGAAATCTCTTCACGATGAGACAAACATGTAAGGAATGTTTAACGAGCGTAAAGCGATATTTCAATAGCGATATAGATCATTGCAGTTTTCAAGAACAGATCATTAGAAAGTCAACTCGTGAATTATTTTAGATCTTGGATATTGATATTATTATGAAATTCTTGAGCCTTCAAATCCTTGGATTCTTGGACCCCTAAATTTTTGAGATTCTTGGACACTTAGATCCACGGATTTATTCATTCATCTGGTACTCGAAGCGAGATTTTTAACGATTAACCGTAATAATTGGGCCATCCATCGGAGTGTACTGTGTGTCCCAAAAAGAGGGATTAGTACTTTTGTCTCAAAAGTAAGAGTTCTCCCCAATCCGTCTCTGTAATATAAAGGCTAAAAGATGTGAATCATGAAAATAAATAATTCAAGAATTATATATCCAGTTTCCTAAAGTCTCTGCGATCCCCGTTTTTTTGTCTTTTTTTTTTTCTTTTTGTTTTGGAGATCAGAAATTATTTTTATAACTGAAAGAAGTGAAACTAAGCGAGTGTAAATTTTCATAAGGTTGAACCTAGTTGATCCCTTCTGGTTGACATCTCCTATCGAGACACCCGGTACAACTTTGCGAGTCGCGGCAGCCGCTGGTCCTTCATTTGATGATCCGTATCCGAAGTCATATAGTCCAAACCTGCACTTTCTCCGCGACAACGCACCAACTGGCATGATCGTAGTACGACGAGATGATATGCAGATTTTCGACATACTTGTTGATCAGCTGATCTAGCTCGCCTTCACGAAAGACGTGGTAGTACTGATGATAAGTGATCGAACCGCCGCCGCGGTCCGAGGATAATGACTCCCGAGACGAGGCATTGCTAATGGAGTCGGTGATCCTGTTTGTGCTGCCCAGATAATTCGCGGCGTCTCGTCTTTTCGTCTCGCTTGACATCTCGTCCAAAGATCGACCGCGTTCTTGCAATCTTCGTCGTTCCATCGAACATCGACGGTTATTCTCCACATTATTCGGATTCGACACTAACGATACTGTGCTGCCGGTGAATAATCTTGTCGTCGATTCCGCTTGGCTACCGTCGCTCAGGCTCGTAGTGTTCTCCATTATGGAGTCACCCACATCGCTCGAGTCTATCGATAGCCCGCCCTGGGAAGAACGCCACTTCTCAGCCGTCCTCGAGTCCTCCGTTGCGTCCTCGCACTCGAATTCACCTGTCTTCGACACCATCACAAAGTCCAACATATCGTCCGAATTGCTGCGCAACAGCGGCGAAGTGTTAGCGGAGCCATATCGCTCTTGGTCGACATTGGACCGTTTAGGTCCCGCTCCAGATTGAAAGTTAAATGTGCTTTCAGAATTAAGCTCTAGATCTTTAGGATTAATAAATGGTTTTTTGTTATCGCCTGTGAAATTACTATTGGATACAGGATTAACTGTTGATACGAGATCAAATTTAATTTTTGAATTCTCTTCGGATGCGAGATCGAATTTGAACGGTTCGTCATATTTGGATTTAAATCTAGTTTCGGGCTTGGCTTCCAACTTAACTTTATATTTGGAATCGCATTTAAATTTATGGTCGAATTCGGATTCAAATACGACGGCATGGTCCTCACAGAGAGATTTGGATTTTGGTGTCAATTTGGATTGGATCACATTGGCAAATTTGTCGTATCCACTTCTATCGTACGCTTTGTTTACGATCCATGAAGTCTCCTTGGGCACTTGATTGCATCCATCCCAGGCCGTGGCATCCGATTCCGCGTTCAACTTATTGTCCAACGACGATGACGAAGTTTTCGACGTCTGGCACAAGAGATCGAACGACGAGTTCTGGCAGTACCGACTGATATCTCGCATGAGATCGCTACTCGATTCGTCGGCATAACCACCCAAATCCACCGAAGCGGATTTACGATCTTGCTTTAAGTATGCTCGCGTTCGCACGCTCGATTGCGACCAGACACCGTTGTTATTCCGTTGTTGCGCAACCTGCGACAATTGTGAGAATTGTTCTACTTGAGTGTTGCGTTGAATCGCCGTTTCTACAGCATTCTCCAGCGAACTCGCCACGTTAGCAGCGGCCTCAAGAAGCTTCATAGATTGCGAGGAGATGGATTTTCCGCTTTCCAGCAGTATGCGTGACGCGGAGCGGATTGTATCAGCTCGTAAATTATTTTGGATAGAATCGTGCATCATGTCGGTTTCTGCAAACACCATGTCATCATCGAAATCCGCGGGCGAATCGTCGGGCGGGGGATCTAGAGATGTATGAGACTCCTCGAGTGACGCTGTGGTTTCCATACCCAATGATTCGTCGTCATGTGTAGTTTCTGGTTCTTTCGTATTCTTCGATACGTCGTCTCCGTTTGACTTGGAAACTTCTTCATTCGTCTGTGCATTGTTCTTCTTTTCTTCAGCTTCCTTTCTCGCGATATATCTTTCATCTGATGTGACGCTGATCACCGAGCCGATCGATTCCGGCGACGAGACGCCGCTGGAATCGCTATCTAGATCATCTGTCTCTGGATTGAACAATTCCAAAGATAGTAAACGGGGCAAAATCCTTGTGACGGTCTCCAAACGACCCGAAGCCGCCGTGGAAGCGCGTCTGACCAACGGAAACGACGGTCTAGCACGAGTCGCAAAACCCGGCTTCGCTATGAGCAGCTCCTTGATTTGATTCAACCTAGCCTTTCGACTATCATCCTCATTTATAATCGGCTCGCGACTAGCCATCTTGACGTCGTTGAAGGCACGTATCAGCGGTGCGGTGTCTTGTTCTACGTCAGGCTCCGCTGGTTCTGACATCAGATGGAGTTCTCTTGGCGCCTGCAAAATCTTATCGGACGTTTCCTTGCAGATGACAGTCGGTGCACTGGGCTTGATTGCGTCGCTGAGATGCGCATTCGTATTTGTATTCGTATCTGTATTTGTGATAGGCGATTGCTGCTTCAACAAAGATGACATATCGATTAGTTTGAATCTGGAGGACTGACTACTGTCCGGTGGTTGCTTGACACGCGGCGATGGTGGTGCCGATGTCGTGCCGAGTTGCAACGCTGCCGGTCGCGGCGCGGAAGTTATTTCATTGACCGACGAGGATGCTGGGGGTGCTGGGACAGCGATATCTTGCTTCGGCACAAAAATCACCGATGCAAAACTATCTTCAGAATCGACGCTAGTGTCACTCTGTAGACTGCTGTCTTTGGATGAGTCCGAACCGTCCTCGCGTGAAAGACGACGTTCAACGACCTCAATGCTACGTTTCACCAATGCAACTGATTGCACCTTATTGTCCGCCGGCTTAGGCTTTGTCGTTACTTCCGCTGTCGCGGTAGACACCGATTCATTCTCGCAGGATTTCCAACCTTGTAACATCCGGACGAAGCCGTTTTTGATGGATATACTGGAGACCTTTTCAATGTTCGTGGTGGAACGTTTTATTTTGCTGGTGAGTCCGTTCTTCAGCAATTGAAAGCGCCGGCTGGCGCTTACTGGGCTGATCGATTCCTTGAATGCCTCAAACGTTCGCCACTTACAGATTAGCTCCTCATTTAGTGACGCCTGCTTCATGATATTCCGGCGTACTCGCTCTTTCTCCTCCAGTCGTTCCGCCGACATCAGTTCCTCGTTCATCGAGTTCTGCTTCAATGGTACATTACGCTTGCGCAACGGTTGGCAGGAGAAGTCCGGAAAGTCCTTGATTAGATTTTCAATGGCAGTGTCTTCGGAATTCTCCAAACCGGTCTCCTCCACACACGATTTCTGTTTCACTAATCGCGGTTTCGAGCCGCTCGACGATGACGAGACCGATCGCTCATCTAGGATCAGTTCCGACGTGGAGCAAAAACCCGGAATGCTAGATCGGGAGCGCACTAAATCGAGTCGTTCGATTTCTAAAATGTCACCTAGGCTCTTGGACTTTATGTTTAACGTATCCGTGGAGCGCTTGTTCATCATCGTTAGCGTATGCGTAGTTTCTACGCGACGCAATTCGATTGGCAGCTCGTCCACATCGGTCATCTCATCGGGATCGTAGTGCCGTCGGCTCTTGGTGCCGCTTTGCCAGCTTCCGGGGAACCATGCACGACTGCCGCCTCCGCGTCTACTTCTCGCTAACTTCTAAAAAAAAGTTATACAAATCACGGATGAATATAATAGGATATTTAAATGATATATATAATTAAAATATATAATAAAAATATATCTTAACCGGGGAACCTGCCGCCTCCGCGTCTACTTCTCGCTAACTTCTAAAAAAAAGTTATACAAATCACGGATGAATATAATAGGATATTTAAAATATTTAAATG